CTGTTTCTCTTTTGGCGTGTTTGAAACTGCATTCTTTGCTACTTCCTTGTTTGAAACTGGTGGTTTCTCCTCCTTGTTCTGTTTCTCCATTGCCTGTCTTCGTTCTAGCATATTTCTCAACGCTTTTTCTCGCAAAATTTCTTCGTAACTCTTGATATGAAATCCGAAACCTTTTCCTTCGTTCTCCTTCTCTTCACCACTTATCTCCAAAGCAGTGCTCTCTGTAACATCCTTCATAACGTCTCCATCTAATTGTATTGCATTTTTTTCTTCCAATGTTGTTTCAGCTTTATCTTCAGAATTCTCGGTTTTGTTGTTGTCGTTGCTGCTGTTCTCTCCAGCAGCGCGTTCTTCTCCCTCGCTTTCCTGTGAGTTCTTCTCTTCTTCTGAATCTGCCACTAACTCAAAGTCATCTGAAGATAATTCTACAAAAAATATGGACAATAGCCGTTTGATTGGAGAACATGAATAAAGATACTGTCAGAGAACTCGTTATCTAGCGAACTGGCCAACCTTAGATACTTCTATATAGGTGATAGAAAAGAAAAATTTCCACTCTCCATCAAAAATAATCAACGGACCAACCTCTAATTACTGCCATGAACAAATGACAAAACTTGACACAATTTTTTGAAATATTGAGCCATTCAGGAGCCCTTAGCTATCAGGAGTTTATATAACTACTTTTAAACATTTAGTTCTTTGTATTACAAAAAAATATTAGCAGCACTGTCAGCCGTGAGGTCGTTTTTATAAGGGCATTTTAGATCTTTGCTGGAATTAAGAGATGGTAAGATCTCGCTTGAAAATGTGGGCGGGTGAGAAATCCCGGAAAGACTTTCGTGAATTTGACTCCCTTCTTCAAAATAAAACCAATCTCAAATATACATGATTATTATTAAATTCATAATCAATACAGCAAGTCCAAGACATCCCTTCTACATAGAGTGGACATATTCAGAAGACTTTTCGTCCTCTGGTATGCTGGTGTCGTTTGGATGCTGGAGAAACGTTATGCCGCGTAGCGTTGAGACAAACGCCTGAATATATTCTTGGTAGCGTGCATACATTGCTTAACATCGCACAACATGGCACAACCCTTCTCTTCTCTAATCACATTTAAAGTCACAATTTATGTATTCTAAATGTGCATAAATTAACATTGAAAGAGGAAGGGGGTATATATTTTGTAACTGTCTGTCTAGGACTGGGATTGCAGATCAAAATGAATGAACAGGTTAGGAGGCGGGACGCACTGGTTTTCTTTCGGAGATAAGAGGCTTCACTTGAAACCAACATATTTGAAACCAACAAAGCAAAAAAACGCATACCGCCAAGATCATCATTTTCTTCCCCCTTCTCTTCTTTCTCCTCTTTCTCCTTTTTCGACTTTTTGCCCTGCCTCTTTTTCTCTTTCTCTTTTTGTTTCCTTCTTCTTTCCTTTTCTTCTTTTCTCTTTGCCCGGTTCTTTCTTCTCTCCTCTGAATCTCTATCTTGTCTAGACTTTTCCTGCCGAATTCTTCTCTCTTCATCCTCCCTTGTTTTGTATCTGTTATCAGCATACTGTCTGCCTGATATGACAAAAATAACTTGACATTTAGCTTCACTCCAAACCAGTAACGAATGATTGGCCAATTATTTAAGACTGTTTACAAAAGAATTGCTTTTTCTCAATTTCCAGAGACAAAGGGCCTCTCACATCAGAAGGTCGACTTACTTCAGTAGAACTGTGGCAAAGTCGAGCCTCGATAAATAAAATACCCCCTTGGGCTGCAATGTATCTTCTTATTGTTTTTTATGACAAAATTGACGATATACCTAATAATTTTCACTTGTTTTATGAAAGAAGATGAGCATAAGAATGTGCTTCGAAGACCACGAGAGGGTTATGAAGTAAGTCCGCCATAAAAGAAAAGGTTACTAGCAGTTGTGCTGGGTGACTTTGAAGGCTTCGAGACACGGGCCGCTATGGATATATCATTTAAGCCAATGGGGGTATTGTGCCGCCTAAAAGTATGGCTTATAAAGCAGGGTGCAGGATCGTTAAAAGAATCTAATAGAATATATTTTGGAACAGCGGTTTGAAACCCAAGCTTGCATTGCTTTACATTAAACAGCAGCCGAAAACCAGTTACGTTCATACAAACAAATTTACAGATAACGGTGAATTTTTAGATGAAAAATTACCTTTGGAGGGGGCGACAGTCCTCCCCTTTCGGTCCCTTCTTTCCTTTTTGAATGTCTGATAAGACTTATCCTTTTTCTGCCTTGACTCATAAGTTCCCAGAATTTCGTCAAATTCTGAGTCGCTTGAATGAACTACGGAATCAAACAATTTTCAGAAACCAGAAGTTAACATACAGAATTAGATACAATTTTGTGCAAAATCTTGTCAAATACATTGCTTGTATCATAGACACAGGCCCAAGTCGGCAAAAGTTTTTTACCAAACAATTTATGGTTCACGAATGCAGTTTTATCCTATAAAGCAATGTTAGCCCTATAAGGGTTACTGCCCCCCCCCCCATTTACTTGATGCTTCCTCAATTCATCATTAAGGAAATTCCTCTATTAAAAAGGCCTCATCTCTGGTACAGGATTTTCAAACACACTTTGATGGCAATCTAAGTTTCTTCTCACTTTTGGCATGCTCCTTTTTTAAAAAGAAATCCCACTTAATACAGAAAAATCTCTGAGCTTTAATAATCAACTCGAAACACACAAAAATATATACTTGAAAATTCAAATAGTTAAGAACACAAAAGTACAAAACATCTAGCAAAAAAGTGCTGCTTTTAAACTATATATGTGCTTTTCTGTAAAAGCTTGCAAAACAAATTCTTGAAAACAACATTGTACATTGAATTGTATTGTACATTGTACACATGGTGTATTGTACATTGAAAGTCGAGTTCATAAGCAACATACAGATAAACGGTGACACAAAAAATGATGGACTTTGCAAACCTGGAGATTTATCTCTTTTGGGTTTCTTTTTCTGGGCATCCTTCATTGGAGATCCTGTGAATTGAAAGAACTAGCAATGATCTAATGTTGATAAAAAACCTGAATAACGAAAATGGATATTCAATTACGTTGAGTACAATAAATAACATTGAACTATATCATAACATATCATATCTTTTTGTATCATTAATTGTATTTTACTTCATCGTATTATATCTCATCAATATTATCATATATTCCATTTAAAAAGATTGTATACATTATTTATATACATATATTATAACTCCATTGTGCAGTAACATCTTACAACTATATTTAGCTATTGATAAGCAGTTTGAAATGGTTTTCACTGAATTGGCACTTACCCATTCGCTTTTCACTGATCATTTCTTTGAACATTCTAACATGCTCTTGGAAGGATGAGTCTATTGGGAAACAAAATGTCTAAATATTACTTTTTAAAAGTAAAATTCAATGATAAGCTTCTTCTAGATCCTACTTTCCATTATTGTTTTGATTTTCCAAACTTTGTGCATTTTTTACCAAGATTACAGAACACTTTAAAATTAATTACAAAAACTGCAGGTAGTTGTAGCAGGCACGGGGTGCAGCAAACTTCAATTTTGTTAGGTCATAAAACAACAGCAGATTAAAGCTAAGGATACAGCTAGATATGACACTGCCAGGAGGAAAGGGATGGCAGACAATGAGGTCTTTGGTCTGTCTGATGTCTTATACAGAGCAGGGGTGGACAATGCCAGTGAACAGGTGGAATACCCAGCTCTTTCTGTGGTCTTCCATATATGGCCTGTGTTCTCCTAAAAAGGAATTCTGGCAACAGGGATGGACAATTCTAGTATAGTTTGGTCATCCAGGGTTTACCCTGTTTAAAGATAAATGGTGTCCCACAGATAACAACCAGGCATCCCAGGTGTGTGGGACTGAATTGTCCACAGAGGCAGTTAGGATTAGGGGCACAAAAGAACCAGAAGAGGAAGAGATGTGCGTGCCCACACAGAAAAGAAGAAACAAACAGTGCCATAGGAGCTATCTTGTGCCTGAAGCTTAAAAGAAGTTGATGTATAGTTGAGAACACAACTTACACAGAAACTAGACAGTAGACTCCCCCAAACCATATCATATTGAAGTAATTTAACAGTCCCTTTGAATTGAAGAGACATTTGAAATTAAAGGAACTACAGGTAAAAGCCTACTTTTGCACCCTACTATTACTATCACCCACCTAAACTATTTTATAGGTCCTTTAAGATATATATTGAGTTTATATATATAAACATTTACTTTGCTAGGAAACTGTTGGAGGTAAGGGCTGCCAGCTGAAACTAGATTTCTTCAAAACAGCTACAACTTTAGAGACATTTTCAGTTACTGCCTTTGCAGTAACTAGATTTGGCTAAAAATAAGATAAATGTTTGATGAAATATCTTCAAACTCCATCTGGAAAAGGTTACAGATACACCCACATGTCATTACAATATTTGCATTTAATCAATGCTTACTTCTAGAATGGAGTTTACCTGGGGCAGATAGCAAATTTGCTTGTTGAACTGGGAATAGGTTTGTGTCCGGTATTGATTTTGCTATTTGTGCTTCTACAGGAATACTGACAAATGGTTGCAAACTAGGCTGAGAAACAACAGCTGCTGCTTGGCTTGAGATTCCCTGTAAAAAACGAGATAGCTGAGGTAGAAGGATGTTAATTGTGTACATCAAAATGTGGAGATACATGAAAAGTTTGCCAGCAGCTTTGTATTCAACATGAAATATTTTCTTAACCCATTTGATGAAAATTTTGATAAAAAATCAATGCAAAAAGATATCAGATATAGAGAACCATAGCTACAATCAGGCCTGGCCGTTTGAGGCGAGCGATAGCTCGCGCTCGCCTCCACGCTCCCCTCGCAACCTGAGGCGAGCTATGAATTGCTCTCCTAAACAGAACATGAAGGGAGAATCGCTCCCCTAAAATTTCCATTCATTTGCCCTTTTCCTATTCAGAGAACCCTGAAAACGGATTAATTGGCTTATTTTTGTAACAGCGATTTCTCCCGTCACTGCATTTTTTGCAATTAACTTTTTGCTTGTTGAGCGGTTTTTGTTATGATAGGCATAAACTTCGATCTATTTGGAAAAGGATAGTTAACCGAAAGGTACGTTTGTAGCGATTAGAACCTTTCAATCTTAAGAAAACAGGAATATTTTCGGAAGGAAAGTCGAAGAAATGGGTAGGAATTGTAGATTGGGGATATAATAAGACAGCAGGTCCCTTCCAGCAATAGAAACCAAACTATCCCTCAAAGAGAACAGGGTACTCTGTCTTGCAGATCAAAAACGACAACCAAAACATGGAATTCCACTATCCAGCAGCATTTACTGAAAAACCCAGATTGGGTGAAAAACTATAATGGCGACATGTTTCGCATTATTGGCAAAGCCTGATCATCGTTCCATCTATGTAGCAGTTTGTGAATCTATCTACTATATAAACATGGCCGACTGCTTTTGTGTAGACATAAGTGAGTTTGTTTTCACCTTAGGATTCCGTTGGTAACATTTTCAATAGGAAAGGGGCACTTATTGGAAAACCTCAACAGTCATGTCCTCGCGTTTTCTGATGGCCTATTTCGATCCAAAACTGGGTATCTTAGCGTAGAGTTTTCCATCTATGTTCTGACCTTTTATTCTCTGAAGAGTGCTAGATGTATAATTAAGTTTGTTTCAAAATTTGTTTTTTAAAGCCATTTTCAAATTCTGTGCAACAAAGAGATTGTTTTGCAAGAGAATTGTTGTTTTTGTGTTGTGCCAGCTTTACATAAAACGGAGAAAGTCTGTTCTTTCAAACACTTCAATTAAAGGGGGTGCCTAAGTCACGGTTAAAGCAAATGCAAATTGAAAGAAGTAAAACAGCACACTCCTGACTGAGGCTATTACATTAAGGCAACCAACAGATACTAAAGGGGCTTATTAAGTCATCTGTCGATTGTCTTTAAAGTAACTTCTATGTGTTACTGATTTAGCTCGCCTCAGCAAATGAGGGGAGCGATTCACAGCTCACCTATAAAAATACAAACGGCCAGGCCTGCTACAATTGTGATTAGAATGAACACTCAAACTTAAGAAAATTATAAGCAAAACAAAAATATTCTTACTTGAGATACCACAGGATTGGCGGCTATTCCAGTGTTGGTCCTTTGGCTTGCAAGCATTGAAGTTGAATTGAATAAAGTTGTATTCCCTACTGATACTGATGTGATTGGCAAGCCTGTTGCTTGTCCTGTTGTTGCAAATGGCCTTGGTTTGGAATGAAAGAAGTGGCAATTGGGTTTGAGACAACCAGCAGGATGTGTCTCCCAAAGACATGGTATTGATTGACGGCTTTTCTGAAAAGGGATGAAAAGGATAAAATTATTGCATGAAAAATGAAACTATGATATTTTAATGAGCAGGCTTCTCCAATTTTAACAGGTGTGTGGCCGACCAAGCGTCTCCAAGCAAATTTTTCATCAAGACGTGCAATTCCCTAAATGGGAATGCTTTAATTTAAAGATGATTCTCAGGGCAACAAGACAAAGTTTCTGATAAAAGAGTAATATTTACAAAATGCAAATGGCAGAGGCCTGAAATTCATTACTTTTTAAGAAACAGGTGCATGACAACATGTGAGTCTTGTCTTGCCTAGTTGCATTTTTACACTTATATAGAAATTGTCACAAGGGGCTATCATCTTCAATTTATGGAAGCCTCTGTTTATCTAACCAACAAATGCATTAATGTTTAAATAAATATGATTCCTTATAAATTCAAAGTACATGGTTAAAAACGAATTAATTAATGTCAAACTTACATCATAACTTCTATGGCGATATTTACAAACATCCCGAGCACATCTTCCTTCTAGCCATAAATGACATGGAATCTCATTACCAAGAGCTGCAGGCTGATGCCGATAGGGGCAAGATGCTCCCTGAAAGTAAATGGTAGCAAATGAATATTTATATTTATATTTTACTGAATCCCCTACATGTATTCAAGCTAGGAAAATATAAACAAAGCTAAACTAGGTAAATTTGAGACAAAATAACAGCCAAATAAATCATCTTAATTAAGTTATATTTTAGGAATACAAAATCTAAAGCTTTCAATGTTCTTTTGATAACACTGTTTTCTTGATTATTTTCTTTATACAGAATCCCCTTTAGGGGAACTGTCTCTTAGGCTTGGAGCACCTACAACCCATCTCCATCATAAATTCTAAGACCAGTGGACAAAACTCCAGGAAGTGATACTCTCCTGAATGGTTGACAAATGGCAGAAAAACTAGCAATCTTACACACAAATAGCATGTTATCTGTTATGCTGTATATTTAGGTCTCATTTTATGAAAATTTAGCTAATAATTTAATAGATAAGAAACAAATACAAGTTTAAGACTGACCTTTGAACAGCTTGAGTAATAATAGAAGTAGCAATCTTCTCCTTGTGCAGCCATTTTCTTGTTTGAATGATGTATTCAAAGCCCAGGGCAAAATGTCTACAACTTGAGTCAAAGTGCAACTTCAATTATTGCCAGGCAGTCAGTGAGTGAGAAGGAATAGATTTTGTCTGTCTTGACAACAGCTATCTTCTTTGTTTACTCCTTTTTTAGCAGGCTTTCTTCATTCTGTTTTTTGCTTTTATAGAAAATACCTAAGGCAGAATCTCAGACCACTTGAGATAATCTATCACAAGTTACTTCTGTTATGGATACAATAAAGAGGCAGGGCATGAATGCAAATGGAGAACAATTGGCTTTGATAATTTAGTCTGTTATTTCTCTTGTCTCTCTGAAACTCTTTGAAAACTTTTTCTTTTTATCTGCAAATAGTCAATAGAGACAAATTGAAAACTTGATGGCTTTCCATTGCAACATCTTTCCAAAATGCCTGCTAGATATTGCTGTTAGATATGATACCACAAATTTGTGCTTGCATCTTGCCATAAGATCATTCAAACCACATTGCATGATCTCATTTCCAGCCAGCAAGCATCACTGCTTCATCTTACCTCACCTTTACTCTTTTCTTCACTCTATTTCAATACATTCTGAACAGTCCAATGATTTTTTATAATTTACCCAAAATAACATACATGTATGCAAATAATAAACATTGTAACACACAACGCTGAACAATAGAAAAACTGTTTAAAAGTGAGCTAAAAAATTCACAAGAATGTTCACATGAATGGAATCTCTGTCTGCATAAATTTTGGGATGCATAGATTTTGAGGTATTCACGTTCTAAACTCTACTAGTTTTCAGACATAATTATTTATAGATAAAGCTAATTATTCTTAAAACATATTTTATATACTGTTTTCATATTATGTTTTCAAATAAACTAGTGAAAATAAACCTTAACATCTGGGTGGATTCATTTTAAAAAATATTTTGGGTTGTTGCTGTTATGAAGGGCATATAAACATGATCATTTGATTAAAAAAATGCATAATATGAAACAAATAATATAAAATAAAATAAATACATCAACACACGAAATAAATAACTGCATTAAGTTCATTAAATTCAACAACAATATAATACAAATACAAGATTTGCATAAGATTTTCTTGACAATTATTTCCATAGAAGAATTATTGAAATTTCTTCAAAGTTCCTTTGCTAAACTTTAAAAAAATGACAAAAAGGTACCTATAATATGGGTACACAGAATAAATAGATGTATATACATTTTTTCCATACAGAAGCTATCTAAAAAAATTTAAAACTAATGAAGTTACAAAACTTTTAGCACTGTATATATAAAAACCAATCTCAACATCTAATTCTAAAACGCTTGCTTGCAATTTGTAAAAATTAAGTATTTAAACAAATGCTGAATCAATAAAAGAACTTAAATTTCACATAAAAGAAAAGTGACTTGTCAAGCCAGGTAACTGATTTTTTTTTCAATGAAAAATTAGTTAATGGCAAAACAATCTAAGATGCAAAATCATGGATTAAGCTTGCATATCTCTAGGTGTTGAAATAATTGGCAGTAAAAATATTTTTTTCTTGAAAATACAACTTAATTTAAAGATTTATATACGAGTAATGGATAGAAAAAACAATTTACAAGTTTAGGATAACAGATGAAGACACAAATAATTAGAAAAAAATAAAACAGCTCAAAATCTGCACGGTTAATACAAACAATTTTACTTCAGCGAACTAGAAATTGCATTTTAATTTACAGGGGTGAGTTTAGCTGTAAATTGCTTGCCTGCTTACCTGAAAAACAAATAGCGTTATGTTGAAGTACTTGTTGCTGTAGGCTTTAAATAACAAGTCTCTCTTTACCTGGAGACTATTTACATCAATTATATTTTTGACTCTTTTTTATCAATTCCTATTAATTCTGAATCCAAATGAAATGGAAAATGTATGGAATACGGCTTATTTAGACCACAGATCTAAAATGTGTTGGGGGATAAACATTTCTCAGAAGGAAAATTCCATTTACCAAAGAGCCTTTTCGAATGTTCTTGGCCTTCAAGAATCAAAATATTTATGGGGTCTTAAAAATGCAATATAGACTGCTCTTTGATTTGGGAGAATGTCTCACACCTAGTATTTATTTTCAAGGCAGGCTAAAAGCTTTTTGGTAACGGATAACTTTCAATGGCGATCGCAGTCATTCCAATTTGGCGGCGGAGTATACAAATCGCTTGGTAGAAACATTAATTTTACTACCAGTTGTCGTCACAATTCACAAGAAAATCATAATATTTAGTGATTTGAAATTCATTTGGACTTTTTGAAATAAAAAATTGAAAACTAAGATTTGAGCGAATCGAACGAATATTTAGGCCTTGCAGCTGGTCCATTGCCGAAAATTTCGAGTATCATTTAACCGATCTTACCGTTTCCAGATGCCCAGGAAAGTTGTAAGCTCAACCATATAAACAGATATTCGGACAGATAGCTCCTTCTTGAATTCCTGTGCCAAATATTCGTAGTAAATAAAAGTTTCAGTTAGCCTTGAACAGACTTCTACGAGTTTCTTTTTGTTCTTCCTCAACACGATGCTTCTCGCATTGGACCATGGGAGCGAATGACGTCACCATGCAGAAATATTGTCAGTAACCATTGCTTTCATCAACGATAATTCGAGAAAATATACTTTCGCAGTCTCTTTGTTTCAAAATATTAACAAGTCGACATACAAGAGTGATGCTGCGACCAAACTTTTGCATTCTCGCTATAAAAAGGTTTATAAATCAAGTACAACCAGCGAATTTGTCACATAGCCCAGAATTACACTGATATACAATTAACATAATAAAAATTCGATTTCATTTGAGACGATAAAGGCAGAAAAAGAACAAATTTTTTGTTCCGTTTAGCATTCAATCATCTTCGAACGAGGTCTTGTCTAGAAAATTTGGGTATACAAGTTATTTTTTAAAACGGCCTAAAACAACCTACAGGCTATAAAAAAAGTAACTTCTTATATTGAAGTTTTGACATCACTAACAGCCTTTTAGCGCCTGGCTTTAGAGCGATCTCAAAACTCGTCAATGTCTAGAAAAAATAAATACTACCACAGGCAAATAATCTTCTCTTACTGAAAATTCAGCAGTAAGCCCCCAATAGGCATTCTAAATAAGACATGTTTGCTTGCGTGTTAGACTCTTTTTAAACCTGCCATAAATACAGAAATTTTACTAAAGGTACAATAAAAAGTAAATATATGGGGGGGGGCTAAATAGAGAAGTGGGATTTTCCTTGCTTTAAAAACTTAGAGCCTATTACAGAAGGGAGCTTTAAAGAAAGGGGGGCTCTCACAAAGTCATGGTATGGGAAAGGATTAGAATAACAGAACCCCTGTCTAAGTGCCCCGGCATATCCTGCCCCGGTAAATTCCCCGGTGAAGTTTAAGCAAAATCCTACCCCGGGCAAGGCAAGATTCTCCCCGGTACAAAATAATTGTCCCCGGGATGGATCGCCTCGAACAAATTCCTCGGTCACAAGTCTTGCAAACCCCGGTACCAAATGCGCCTCAAAGTTTCCCCTGCAATCCAACTTGTAAAAAATTTTAGAATCCAGGCTGGAACCGACAGTCATTTATGGCTGATGCATGTGTGATGATGATAACTTCCTTTTCAATTTACTGGTGCGAATTTCGCATCTCCTGCAATCTGACCCTCCCGTAAATGAGACTATCATATGGCTACTCACCGACTATTGCTGAAAAGATCAACAACGCAACGGTATTGCCATTTTCACTGACTACAAGACTAGAGTTTCGGACCAAATCATTGAATAGTTTGAAGGTCATACAAGGTAGTATTTTTAAGAGCTCTAAACACCTTTTTTAGCGTAACGAGTACCAATTCTATGAACAGTTGATTTAGCTGAAAGTAGGCATGAAAACAAGAAGGAGATAGCTTGTAAAGTGCATTATAGATTAAGGTTGTAATAATTGTGTGTAGCATTTCTTGTGACTGATTTTTAAAGGATGGGAAATTTTTAAAGGATGGAGCAGAAAACGCTTGTAATTTAATGACTCGCAAAATAATAGATAAAGAAATTTTTCGTGGGTAAGGCTGCATGCACCTGAACTGTAGAGGCTGATGAGGGTAGGATAAAGGAAATGATCAGGTAGTCCTGGAAAGCTTCTTGCAAATTCAGTGATGTGGTAGTTCCACCACTGAATCTCATCCATCAGTTTCTGTAAAAAAATGTGCATAATTTGCCCTTTGGATAGACTGTTCACCAATCTTTGTGGGGACTCTGCAGGGAATTTGCATACAAAGAAGAAAAATAAAAATATAAAAGCATTGAGATATGGCAGGAGATCATTATGAAGTTTTGCTTGGTCTAGAAGAGGCCAGTAATGACGCAATAGGCACACCCACAGCACGTCAGAAGAGAAAGAGAAAGAATAAAACAGACGCTAACTGGAGGAGCTTATCAGTGACACTCTTTGATATCAGCAACTTTTCTGTCCTGGCACCCTCACTTAAATGGCATTTTTTACAGAAGCCAATGATTTCGGGAGATTTCTTACCGGTACTAAATCAAAATCAAGAGCCTCCTATGGTAAAATTGTACCATGTGTCAAAATTTTCTACACTTTTTTGAAAGAATCGTTAACTGAAATTCATAATGAGCTCCAGACCTTTTTTACATGCAAAAAAGAGATTCCAAAATGAGAAGACCAGAGAGTCAATTGATAATTTGTTGTTCTGTTTACCTGGCTTTAGAAGTAGCGCAAAATCATCCTATTTTCAAAACCACGGCAAAATTGTAGCAGTTGTTTTTATCTGCTGCAAAATCTATTTGCAAAAATAAAGGAAATTTCAGTACAATTAGGAGAGTTGCTGCCGTGAAATTGCTTAGAACAGTGCATTTTCCAGCGAACTAGAATAATCGAAATTCGAAAATTGTCTTTCCTTCGGCGGCAACCATAGTGCCGCCTCGGGTAGTTACTGTATTCAGAGCTTGTCCCGATATGATCGGATCTTTGGGGTTGAAAGGTCCATTAGTCCGTTATTATCATTTTGGCTTGTCAATGTTTTCTACCAAAGGATCCTGAAAAAATGTGAAGTGTGCTACGTTTCAAAACTTTCTATTTACTATTTGCCTCTTTGTGAACACATTTGCTTACAATAACAGAATTAAAAGCTAAATAATATTAAACATAGGCAATGTAATCGATTAGCTTTTTAAATATCCATGAAGCCGTAAATGTTCCAAACTATCATCTAGATCGTCAGGCATATCAAACTGGTATCTGACATAAGAACTGACAGTCGTTACTTCTGCGACTTTTCCTACCCCTAAACTACCATAATGGCATTTTTCTTTAGCAGATTTTTTCGGTGATGTGATATTCCTTCTTTCACTTCCTTCAGCCATACTGCTTTTCCTAACAGCTTTTGTTGGTGGCAACAATGTTTTCCTGCCAGTACTACGCTTGCTTTTATCATGCTTCTGCAGATTCGAAGGCGACCCACGTCCACATGATTCTGGTGTCTCTGAAAGCCGCGTTGCCATGGCACTGATGGGTAGGATACCAAGGCACCCAGGTGACTGCAGCCCTTCTTTTCTTTTATCCACTTTGTCCAATACTGTAACAAATTTAACTCCACGAAGTAATCGAACACTTTTGCTCCATGTGCCTATAAGGTTCGATTTCACGTGGCCTACGTCGCTTTTATGTCCATCTCCACTCCTTTGTATCGTGCTAGAGTTCTTACGTTTATGTGACGCATCTAAGTTGGAAGCTGATAGTTTATTCGGTAACTTCTCTACAACAAAGGCTTCTTTGACGAAAGCAGTATTACTAGCTGTTTGCCTTTGAAGCTGAGTGAATCCGAGAGGATTCTTCATTTTTAATTCATCCGAACTAGCCGGATCTTTTTCACGCAGTTCCCCATTCATAGGATACTTATCTATGACATTAGCTGAGGCTGTCTTCGTAAAGTCATCTCGCCCATTTCGGCTATTGGGTGTAGCCTTGCTTGTGAAGAATGAGTGGATCTAGGGATATTCACGTGGTTTGCAAGAGCAACAGCAGTTAAAGATGTGTTAATGGAGCCTTCCTCTGTCGTCTCCAGATAACATTGAGATCCTGTGTCACTTAATCCTGGCTCGTCTTCTATACTCGATAACTTTTCTATGTAGCTTGATGGTGTGTTAAACCTGACATTCTTTTTAACATTGACTGGGCTGTTTTCAATTCTTGCTGTTGCTTTCGATTTGCAGCAGGAACTTTTGCAAGGAAATGGGTTTTCCGGCTTTCGTGCCTGCCATCTTGAAGAAAGAAACTGCGCGAATTCTCTCCCAGTCTCACTGACATCGTTAAGAAACCATCCTTTGTTACAGACATCTCGACTGTGTTTCGGGTCTAAATAATCCATGAGCAAGCTTTTGGTATCCTTAATATACTGTGAGTATAACTGCGAAACAATCTTTCCATCGTTTAACTGAACTTCATCATGGACATACCCCCGGACAACTCGTTCTCGTATGCTACGAATCATGCTGCAATCCTTTTCTAATGACTCGCGGTTTCGGGGTGTTCTTACCCTTGCAAAATTTGTCCAAAATTTGTCTATGCTATCAACAGACTTTTCGTCTAAATCATCATCGCAATGCCTTTTAGGAAGGAACTTCGTTCGCTTGACAGTTTCGTTAGAATATATATGGACAGGTGTGTTATCAAACTTGAATACTCGTCCATTTCTTTTAAAGTATTTATCAGATTTTGCCATTTTGGGTACAAAGTTATTCGGGTACGCAGCTTGGAGGCGAAAAATTCTATACACTGAACCGACAAATTCTATAAGTGTTTATAATCTGAGAAAACTGGTGAATATAGTTCAACAAACCTAGATTCTTGACAACAGGTAGATCTTTAAGTACGAGTAAGAACTTCGAGCATAAAACACGAGTAACAACTTCAACATGAGATGTGGGTCAGGTTTAAGATATCAACTTTGTCGAAAGCCATCTGTCTCCTCAGGTGCAAAACACATCTGCAGTATATTTTCATCCATATCAAATTTTCATTGAATCTCTAGAGATCTTTTGTCTTTTTCACACTTTTATCTTGTTTTTGTTCTTTTTGAAATAACAAAAAGTCAGTATCCCATTTTCTGCCATTTAACAACACCAAGCCAAAATAAAGGAGTAGATCCTCCGAAATTGAAAATCCTGCTTTTCAAAACATGTTAGCCAAAAAACTTCAGGAAGAATCGATTGAATATCAAAAATTTTAAAATGCTTGGCAGTTTGCCGTTATTTCGTTTGCTGTGATTTCAGCAAAATTCATTTTGGGCAACAGCCATCATATGAATCGCTTTCCATTATGTTCTCGCGATTTCTTGCGTATAACACAATTAGATTGCTTCTGGCTGCATTCAAAAAATGCTTCTTTTGCTGTGCTTGGTATGCGCTGAGAATGTATTTTCTGTTGACGACTCGATACTCTGTCATGACACGGCAGCTAACCGTTTCTTCTAATTAGAAATATCCAACAAGATCATGTACACAAAATTTCGCCAAAATTGAGTTAGTTCCTCGGTTATCTCCTCGCTGAAAATTCAGGAAATTGAACAGTAGCCTTCAGACATAGCACCATGAGAGCTAAGAACATTAAAATATTCGTTAACATGATCCAACTCTTAGCATGCATCTCAGTATCGTTTAACCCAATCAATGACAGGTAAAGCCTTCATAAATTATGTATCCATTCATATCCTAAACCTTATGATTCTATGATTTCGAGAACCAAGCTTGCTTGTAGAAACCACACCGCGAAAATAATTGCAAATCCAGAGGCTTGCAGCTCAGCAAGCAAAATGCAGTGAAGTCGATTTTACAAAAACAGTCAACATTGTGAATGAAAACCAACGAAAAGTACTACAATTACATTTTACGGTTTTCAAAGAACAAGGAAAGCATGTTATTATGTGAAACAGAAAGCAACTTAATGTGGTTTTCCAAGCTATTTAATCAATTGCTTTACTTCTCTTCCCGCAACCAAACCAAAAAGCTTCAAATTGTCTACTCTCGAATCTCGAGAAAACGTTCACAGACGCATATTAATTGTTGTTAATTTTCCAGTCAGTGCGGCTTTACTCCAGCCAACGCGGCTTTATTCCAGCCAGTGCGTCCTTATTTCAGTCAGTGCGGCCTTATTTCAGTCAGTGCGGCCTTATTTCAGCCAGTGCGGCCTTATTCCAGCCCGTTCGGTTTCTTGATGCTTTCCTAACCTGTCATTTCCTAGCCAGTCTAGCAACACTTCCAATGTCGGCAAAGAACGAGCTGCTTGATCGAATAGCACATTTCAAAGGCCAATTTTCATTTATTTTTACATAATTTCTTAATAACACAGATGAAAATCCGCAATGTATTCCCAGTCTATCCTTTCAAAGGTTTATTAGATATTTTCTACTCTTTAATTGGCTTTACAGCAAAATCTGAGCAGAGCTGTTACAAGATATTACTGCTGCAGATAGTGGCATTGCACATTCGAATGGCATCGTGTGGCATTAAAGAACATTTATAGGTAATTGCATAAAAATTCAAAAGAAATCAAGACATTGTTTTTCGGGACTTTTCATCCATTTTATCAAACCTGTTAGTTTAATTTGATTAATAGTTTTTCTTTGCATCCTCGTAATTAATATCTTTATCGAAGGGCAACTTGAAAACCAGCTTCTGCTGAAGGGCAACCCTCCTTGAAAGAATTAAAAATGAAAATAACTGAAATTGGTATTCTCCATAGAACGTCCTAAAAATTGTAAAAAAGCTACTATACCATCAGATAGTCAAAAGCAGAGTCAGTGGTGGCACCAGAGGAGGGCTAGGGGGGGGCTACAGCCCCTTTGTCAGAAGCATCTAGCCCCCACACCCCCCACCCCCCCCCCGTCGAGGAAAATTTTAGGTTATTGTCCGAGCTAATTTGACAAAATAACGTACGAAAACTGCTTATTTTAGTCATTTTAGCCCCCCTGTCAGAAGCTCCAACCCCTCTGTCGGAAGATTTCTGGCGCCACCACTGGCAGAGGTTGGCGCTTGACTGGTTGTGTTTTTCTTAAATCAATTTTCTAAATTGGCAGCATTTGTTACAGCAGTGGTTTCTCTAATAAATTAAAAACTCTAGGATAACAATGCACCAAAATAGCAGAAAGAGGTAGCAACAAGGGACACTTACAACATAATTCGCATATTAATGCAACATAACATCAAATACGTTTCTAAAACTGTTACATAAACAAATACAGACAAACAGATTGAGCTGTGTTTCATTAATGTAAAGATATTAGATTGTTTATACCACTCTCTAACCAAATGACAGCAAATAAGACTATGTTTATGGTCTAAGAAGATCATATAGTGACCAAAAAGCTATGCAGTCATGCTATGGGAGCTATTCATGAACTGCATCATAGGGGAGGCAGGGGAGTTTTCCTCCCACTTATTTGCTAAATAAAAGATTTGAATTAGCTTCAATTTTTGCATATATAAACCTGTAGATTACAACAAATACATTGAACAAAAATCCACAAGTAGAACAACATCCTAAAAAAATCTGCTTCAATGGGGGCTAGGGGGTTAAGTGGTGGGGTAGCTACTGCAATGTTTTAAATGATACCTTGCCAGAGTATTGACAACACAGGATCTGTATGAACAAGCTGTAACATTTTTTGTTGCCTAGTGCTTATTTCTATTCGCTTATTTTGTTATTTGCAAAAATAAAATTTCACAATTCTGAAATATGTCACAACTGAATCTTGAAATGCACTGCTGGCTCATTTTCATATGATCATAGACTACAGTGCTGTTTTGCAACTTTTCTTTCTTACCTATCTCTTATCAATTTCTAAAATCGTAAGTTGCTAAGATAGGTGGCAGGTTTACAGAAGATAAAAAGAATACAAAAGCTATAGGTCTTGGTGATATCAACATTTTGGCAATTGCTTGACAAAACTTTTCTTCCAAAATTTTCCTTGTCACAAAAATTTTCAAAGGTGAAAGTAAACTGTTCTCTAAATTGTTTCCCTAACATTACACTTTACAGAGGAAAACTTTTCCATGCCAAACAATAATCAAAAGCAGCATCAATAAACCCTTATCTTGCTTTCCTTTGCAACTTGCACAGTATGAATCTCAACATCATCATTTTTCAAATACTCGGTATCTACATCAGGCCTCAGATCATTGAACTTTGACACAATGAACATCGATGAAATCTTCCCTTGATTGCCAGAAACTTTGTTTGTTACAAACTTCCACAAAACTGGCTTCATGTTTCTGCACTCTTCAACCAACGGAGCTGCTAAAGATGAAACTGCAGGAACTGATAATGAGAATACTGGTGGGTTTGTTGGAACGTCATTGCTCTTGTGGTAATCAAGACTTGCTTTCAGAAGAACTCTCAGATAATCTGTGCTCAAATGCAAATACGCTTTGCCAAAGGAAACAAGCTCTAAGGTATGATGAAGCTTCCAAATTAAAGCCATCTTCTCTTCAAGTGAGACTGCATTTTTTAGAATGGGCTCCAACTGTCCAAATGTAGCCAATTCTTCATTTGTGAAAAATGACACATAGCTACGTTTGTATTTCTCAAGGCCTGCTTCAGCAATCAGTTGAAATACCTTAGAATTGTTCTCTAAAACTGAATCAAGTTTTTCCTGGAGCTTTTCTTTCCCTTTATTGTTCATACTTGCTTTATAGAATTCTCTTATCCAGGTAGCAAATTCTGTACCATTCTCTAAATCAAAGACAGGCTGTATATCCTTTGTACAAATTGATGTGAACATATGGTCAAGTGCAATCAAGATGTCCTCAAATGAACTGGCATTCCTTAGAAAATCCCACAAATTATCACTGAAGTCACAATCCTTCCGTTTAAAATTATCTAGAACATGAGCAAGTAAAGTTGTAGCTAGATCATCATTATCATTATTATCACCTGGCTTTTCCTCATTTGGAACAAAGTCCTCCATGCACTTGATATTCTTGAGATCGTCAACAAAGCTCTGGAGATGGTTGATAATATCAACCCTTACTTCACCTGTATAATTAGTATCAGGCCAGATACAGCTTTGCACACCATGGACAACATTCTCCAACTGAATCAATTCCAAAAACAAAGGTGCCAGCGGAGATGATGGGTCTGACGGCACTATCCTCAGCTTTGCAATAGCGTCAGCTGACAAAGGTGGTGGGCTATTTGGTGCAGTATTTTCATGCCAGGCAAACTCAATTAACATCATGCTGCTATTTCTGCATTCACTTGCATCACGTTTGAAAATTGATCCCAGAATATCATATCTTGAAAAGTAAAGATTTTTCTCACCTGGTATATTTTTAGGAGCTGCATTCTTTGCAAATGATTTCTGCAAATCAAATACAGACGACTCTTCTTTGACCAGACAAGTTCTTAGTACACCATACTGTTTCCCTTCAGTTGTATTATTCTCAACAGTGCAGCATATCCATCTAATGTTTTGAGGACTTTCACAACTGCATTTTACAAAGACCCATGGAAAAACCATCTGTGAAAATTCTTCTTTGTTCCTAGTGCTCTCAAGTTTTCTGACTGCTTGTGTGAAAATTGAAACGACATACCTTGCATCTTTCAGGGCCAGTGAAGCAAGAGAATCCACTTTGACAACCCTTGTTACACTTGTACTGCTAGACGTTTGCATTTTCGATTTCTCAACTAAAAACTGGACATTTGCGCTGCTAGATGGTCCGGCTTTGATAATTTCTTCAGTATACACATCAACTCGATTTGTCTGTGTTTTTAAGTCATGGCTCCCTAGTTCAATCTCTGGAAATTTGTCAACGGTATCTTCCGCTGACGTATTACTGATATCCCCTGTTATGTCACTCTCGTCATTATCAAACTTTTTTGATCCAGTATTTACTTTTTTGCTGACAATCAGAAGCGAATTTGGTTGTTCCGAACTGAGTGGCCCAACAATGTCTTCTAGGCCTTGGATGAAAACAACTTCTTGACTGACAGGAACGTGATTTAAGCTAAAGTCGTCCTTGAAATTAAAATAGTTAGTAGTACATTCGTCCTTTACTTCATTGTTGTTTCTTTCCAAATCTTTTATGGCCAGCGATTCAAGTATTCGTGCGACAGACTCAACATCTACTTCCCGTTGGTGATCCGCCATCTTCAACGATCTCGGTATTCTTCCCGCCTATTTCTAAAACTTGGTTCCACTCCTCTCAGCGGCGTATGCTAGCGTATGCCAGAAGTCACTGGAAGAATTGCGACCTAAAAATCGTTTCTTACCTATTGAAAAGTTCCCCATATCCAGAGGCGTACGGGGTGAGTTCAGATAGGGGGGCTCAAAAAGTTTTGCCCGAAAAATACAAATATCCATATTTTTACGGAGTATACTCCAACACATAAAAGCGCCGAATAGTAATCAAGCAATGATTGGCAACGCCATTAAAATTAGGCTAACTAATAAACATCTTTTAAAAACATGACACATTACGAAATAGCTTTCGAGTTTTTATTAAAAGTGAAACGAATCTCTTCCACGACGGCGACAAAATATATCGATTACTTTATCTTTTTCACCTTTCGAGAACATGATTTGAACATTAACGTTCGATATTAAAGAGGGCGACATTGTCTAGTCTTTGCTGTGTTACAAAGACATGTGTGACGAAGTATGGTGTTACGAAGATATGTTCCTATGTGCCTAAGTGAGCTGAATGTCTGTTTTGCTGAACATGATGCTGCTGGAATAGTGGCCAGGATTTTCATCTCTTCAGCAGAATGTGGAAGTGGAACTAAGTAAGAAACATTGTCATCATGCATCATTTTAAGCAATCCACACATATTTTGCTTGATCTACTTGATTTGCAGAATCTATTTGGAGGAAGAAGCATCCATTCTGATGATTTCTGTTGAAAGGCTAGCATTCACGCTTGCATTTCCTAATGCCAGTGGCGTAAGGCAGTTTAGGACACCTTAGTTTGATAAGCAAGGTGCCCTAAACGTCCTAAGGGCCCCGAACAAAAAGGGCCCAATATGTTTTTAAGCACATATTTTCAAATTTATTGCTCAAGTTCAAATAACTCTCCAAATCTTCCAAAGCTCTTCAACTGAAGCTTTATAACTCAGCCCTCTCTAGTTAACGAGAAAAATTCTCATTTTTACATTTTGCTATTGTGTTTGACGTGCTCTACACCTTTAGACTGGATCTTCTTTAAAAGGTTCCTAAGCAGATTTTTTCTTAGGGCCCCAGGTGCCTCTTTTAAGCTACTGCCAAAAGCACACAAGATTTCTCCCAAGACTTTATCAATTACAAAAGCTTCTTTAAACAACTTGTACAACCGCTGAAGACTGAATTTGTAAAATCCAACAACAAAAACCCTTTCTGACACCATTCAGTGCAAAACTGATAAACTGACACTTGCTCGTGCTGACTAAAATCAGATGTTGCTTTTACTTTTAGACAATCCTCTCGAGTACGTTTTGCGCTATTGCTGTTCTTGTAGCCTGTGCCCCAGTCCGCAAATGCGGCTACATTTATAAATTTGGCAGCATTTGTTGACTGGGGCGCAGGCTATGTTCGTGTCGCTTTTTTATTTTTTTACACAACAGGTTTCTTCAACATTATTCCATTACTACTGAAAGCCCTCACGATTACCGCCACTTTACTCATCTCAGAGATTTATAAACATTTTTAATGCATTATTTAATGCATTATTTAAAAGATTAAAGTAGTTTTCTGATGCTTCTTTTGAGAAGGCTCCTGCCCGATTTTTGCCCGAAAAGATCAACTGCCCGAATCTAGGGGGTCTCAGCCCCCAGCAATTTTCTCTATCATTCATCTATTTCTTAATTTTTTGCTTCAAGAGCGAGTACCATCTATTCTTAATTCTTTCTGAATGTTCGCTAATCGTTTCTTATACAAATTTTCTTATTGAAACGGAGTGTAATTCTTTTGTTGTTTATCACTGAAACACAGCTGCCATCACTTTTTGCATTTAAATGACGATTTTAGCTTAAAAGACTGAGCAGTCCAGATCATAATTTAATTAGGAGACTTAAAGCAAATTATATTAAGAATTCTTACTTTGTCGTGTGCCGAAGAAAATAAGAGAATTATTCATGGGCATAAGTTTTTCATTGTTTTTCCTTGCTTAAAATCAATAAAAGAGGATCGCAGATTTAGAAAGTTCTCGCTTGAAAACCAAATGTTAATGAAAAACCCATAAAGTTAATCTTTTTCTTGGGATTTTAATCCACTGAACAGTGGCATAAATTAAAGGAAATTATGGCCAAATTTGAGGATATTCAAATGACAATAAATGTTTTACGTTGAAAACAGAATTTGCGAATCTGTTTGAATTTGGAGTATAAACCAAACTACTATCATTCTCTGATTTGCTTCAGAAATAAAAAATATTTTGAACATAACAATTTACACTAGCATAATTTGGCCTTAACTAACTGAGCATGCCTGGTACAATCCAGAAAGCAATGAATTTACAACAAAAGAGGACACTCAGGACTACTGAAATCGTATTAGCTTTTTCATTCAGGACTACTGAAATTGTCAAGGGACCGCAGGGACACAGGAGACTGAGTGGGCCTCCCAATTATTTCCAAATTATTCTAAAACCATACGAAAAATTTTCTTGCGTTTAACTATTAGCATATTGAGACCCCAAAGCTTTTATGCTCCCTCATTCCAGGACCATTACAGGACCAGTGACAACTCCTTTTTGTAACAAACAAACAATGCAGGGACATTAAAGAGGAAAGATGGAGTATAAATTGAACATAAAGTAGTTCTTTGTCCGTATTCTTATTTATTGTCCTTATAGTATAGTTTCGGTTTGATGTTCTGCCCTCTGTTTATAAGAAAACAAAAAACTGAAGGAGTCACACCCAAAACCCACATTGTTTTATTGCCTCTCTTTGGAAGGTTTTCAGAGCTTAAATGTATCATCCGTAGGAAAGTAAACACTTTTTGGATTCTTAAGGCTGGCGGAGAGTGGCCTAATTTCCCACTTCTTAGCAAGATTTAGTATAAATGAATGATAGAAAAATCTTTCAAGTGCAGTCTGTTGAAGCTTGTAGTAAGCTGCGGAGGAGAGATCTATACAAAAACCATAGTCGAGGGTTCAGAGAAACGTAGGTAGAAATTGTTTAAAGCCTAGCTTATTGACGATGAACCTTGGATATAGATCACGTTAAAAACAAAGAAAAAACTAGAAACAAAAACAGAAGCCAGAACAAAAGTGACATGAATGACCGCAACCACAATTGCAATATACAACAACAACAGCTCCAAAATAACAGAAACAACAACAACAGCAAGAAACAACAACAACATCATATTCGGAAAGGATACTATCATATAGGTAAAACATCTAAATGGTTGAGAAACTCTTTAAGCAATAGAATAACCAATCTTATATTATTAGAAAAAAAATAATGAATAATAAGCAAAAGAATAACCAGATATCTTTATAGCATTTCCCACTTTATTTTTAGAACCTAAAGGCTTTTAGAACTACAATAACAAACAATTTTTATGTGTCCTGTTAGTACTTTTTATTACCGGTTTATCCACTTTAGGGGTATTGTTCTTTTCTTCAGAGTCAGCCTCGTTATCAGTAGCACTTTGCGGTGACGTGCTATACGAGATTCGACTGTCTTCTTCCGCTGCTTGCATCTGGTCCCGATTCTGCACAGACAAGAGCGACCTGGCTGAAACTGCATCAGGACTTTTTGAAATTGAGTTTTCAGAGCTTAAACGGTGGAGATCTTGAGAGACTCTAAGATTTTCAGGTGTTAAATTTCCAGACGAGGAGAAAATGTCGACATCATTTTCTCGGATGTAGCGCTCCATTTCCTGCAAGGCAATTTTTGTTTCATATTCCAGGGAAAAGTCATTTGATTGTCAAGTTTGTTTATTTCAAATATCTCTTTAAGCCTGAAATTTCGAAAAGCGATTTTAACCCTTCTGTGGTTTCAGAATGATTGCTAGCCATGCACAAATTGGACATTAATGAACATACAGTTGATTCCCGTTGAAACCAGATACAATGGACTTTCACTAAGTAGGCCTGATTTTACCCTGGGTACCAGACTCACTATATAAAAGGTAAGAGAGTGAGACTCATTCTACAAAATATTTTACATATTTTACATATTTTATTTTTATAGAGTGAATCTTGTAACCAGGGTAGACTTATTTTCAATTTCCATTTTGAACTTTCCTACTTCATTGAAGTAAGAAGTCGTCCTTGCATGCCTGGATAAATCAGACATTCGATAATTTCCATATTTCCATTGAAGGTCCGGCTTAACGGGATTCGATTGTGCCTTCTTTAAGAACTAAGAATGATGAAGCAGTTCTTTCAACGAAAGAATCCAAAGTATCCGTACTTCAAGTCTTGTAACATATTAAGTGGTCTGAGCAACGTATTAAGGGCTTTGAACAAACCTGAAATGTGAACTGTGACAGCAAGTTTGATGGTGATCCGACCAAATCACCTTCGTCCGGGGTGTTAGCAGTATAAGGCCTAGATATGATTCTTTGACATGCAGCAGAAAATACCGGTATAGGATCTGGTTGATTCCGGGACGACGGCCGCACAATCGATAATGTGTCACCCGGATCCAAGTTAACATCTTGATCACCCGCCAATCCCATCAGCCAATGTGTTTTGATGCAAATCCCTTGCTGTTGAATTTTTGTAAATTTACAATTTAATTCGCATCCAACAAAATCGAGGATAAAGCAAAAGATACTCGCCAAGAAAACTCCCTCAGAAGCCCCAATACTATCCACGAAAACACCCCCAGATGTTCAAAAAACTCGTCATTATTATTTTCTTGTCATTACTCGTCATGGAAATTTGAAGCACACCTTCAACACTCCTCCCTTCCCTCCTACACAGGGCACGGACTAGAGAGGCTTGCAGGCAGTATATCAATTTTCCTTTAGTCAAAGTCAAAAGATGTAAGGAGCTTTGGATGTGCTTGTGAAATTTGAGCGAAAATATAACACTCTATGACAAATATTAAATGATATATTACACATTAAATAATTCATCCTGTTTGCCTATTTGGTTTTAAGATAGCTTGAGATACCGTTTTTTCAAGAAAAATCCCAAAAGTGACTTATACTTTAACTCTCATTAAACTCTTATAGCTAACCTATTCATGAAACATTTTTGGAACCCCAGAATAACTTTCTGAGATCGCCACTTTAGTACTAATGCGCCTACAAATTAGGTCGGATGCTTAATACGGACAAAAGCCTAAATAAAGGGCAAGAAAAGAAGGCAGATCCCAAACACGCTCGATCTATCCAATTAATTAAGTCCACTAGATTAAGCAGGTGTATGTATATACAGAATACAGCATCTAGATCTTGCAGAGAAAGGGGAGGTGCACGATTAATGTTTCATGGGTCTTTAAACTAGGTCTTAGAAAAAGGATTGTTAATACGGACTGTAGAATCTAGAAATTGCAAAGAAAGGGGAAGCATATGGTTAACTTTTTCCACTGGTTCTTTAGCTTAGTTCTAAAAGACTTAAGGAACACATTTCATGGTAACCTGGAATCGCAACTATGGTTGAATCACAATTATGTCTACGTACGCAACAACAACAAGGTAAGATGGAGCACATTGCTATTAAGAACTGCATGATACCTTTGCATCCATGCTCCCTCTTGGCATTGTATAATACTTTCCAGGGGTAAGTGCCTTTAATGTCGTCTCACTGATGTGGCACGCATTAGGCTAAAATTATAAAAAAATGACTGTAAAAGTTTTTACTGGAGCTTCAGCCTTGGAATCTACGCCGTTTCCTTAAACATTTTGAAGAAAGGCTTCCAATTTTTTAGAATTTCTCTATTTACACCACCTTTGATAACTGAAATGTTTTATTTTTCAATGTGATTGCATCCTGATCACTACACCTCAACACTTCCTCCTGGTCTAGTTTTGTTTAGAAAGAATAGTGCGGCGAACAGGGAACTATCTGAGAATCAAACAATGTTATTTCATTCTGGTACTCAATTTATTTGCTAACTATACCTCTTGCAATGTTATGACTTATGTATACATTAGAGTAGCAATGCATACATAAGAATAACTAGAAAATAGACAGTTAGCGAGGTACACGATAAACTGAATGTTCTGTCATGTTCTCACAACACCTGTTTTTTTCCTTCTTTACCTGCTTTACAGAAGAAAATACTTTTTAGAAATGCTAAATTCATAAAAGAGGAAGTGAGCAGAAGTAGAATTCTGACAATATTAATTATATTGTTACTTACAGATCCATTTGATTCTAACTTAGATGCAATATTCACGGTATCACCAAAGAGGCAATAACGAGGCATTTTCACTCCAACAACACCAGCCACGACCATACCAGAATGGATGCCTTAAAAATCGATACTTTATCATCATAGCACTAAGTACGGTAAAACGCAGAATTAAAAGTAAGACACTTTAGAAAAACACGAAACGAGTTGGCTATAAAGATAATAGATTAGTTATTTCAGGTACAGGATTATAAGTAAAGATCAATTAACAAAATACCAGAAATTATTTGTATATTGGTTGAACTTTAAATATGAAAATGGCATTGAAAAAAAGCAACCATTTTACAACATACCAAAATCTTTTTCGCCTGACACCCCTCAGAGTATACGTGATTTCCTAATTCTGACGTATTCTTGTACCTTTATTCTGATTTTTTACACTCTGAGGAGTATGAGACAAAAAAGCTTTAAGTATGTTGTAAAATGTTTGCTTCTTTCAAAGCTAGTCTCAAATTTTGTACCGCCAAAAAATTGTTTAGACTTTAAGTAAGATAAGACAAGGTAGGATAATATGACAACGTAAGATATTTCTTAAAAAGATTTTTCCAATTGTACAATTTTTAATAGTTCCCTTTAGATTTTCAATTAACAATTGTAATCATTCGCAATTGAGCAGATTCGATTTCTTTAGGGCAGCGTGGTGAAGAATTAATTGAAGTTTATTTTTCATTGAGGCTGGTAACCGGACTTTAGATAATATGGCCATATGTTGCGAAAAGAGCGTCATCTGTGAATTCCATTTAAATGATTGTAGCCATAATAAAATCAACTTCACTTTTATTCATTAAGTATCTTGTTCTTTAGTCAATACCTCGCTAAAGTCTTTGTTGTATTCTGTTATATATTCAGTGATGTGATAATGATGCTAATATGTTAAGAAATTAGAACCTGAAGCTAAAATTGAAACTGAATCCCACACCTGTCAGCAAGTTGTGCACTCGACATTTCTTTACAATAAACCTCTGTAAACGCTGTAATCAACACATTTCCATCAATAATATTGAAGAAAAGGAACATGGCTAGAAGGAGCGCCAGTATTACGAGAAACCTACCGGTGCGGATTTCTATATGTTTTCCGGGCTCACTTGAATCCGGGTTCGGTATTGACTTGATCACCTTCAGCATTTTCAAAGCCATGTCAGCAACATTATCGGCATGCTTCCGGGTTCTTGTTGGAATACCGCCAGCCAACATATAACCATCGCCGATAGTCTCAACCTGGAAGATCAAGAAAATGGCGATTGGAAGCTTTGTATTCAGCAAGTACGCAAAAATAGAAAACGTAATGTGATAAATAATTTATTTAAAGTTAGCGTACAAGATCTAAATCTAATGATGTATGCAATTATTGCATTGTTTTATGCGTTGCTTTTGATATATTGTTTATTAAGGAGGATGAACATAAGCAATCTCAGTGGATGAAATTAGAAAAGGGCTTGAGTACCCAAATCTGTGACTTATTCAAAGGTCCAATGATTTGACACAGGAACAGAGAAACATTTTACTACAATCCTTGGCACAATTTTTTGAGGAAAATACCCTAATACAAGCTGGTAAGTATGCATCACATATCGTACAACGTGTCAGCCCACCCCCCCCCCCTTATTGAAAGATGGAGCGTAAGTATTTCAGTAGCAGATGTAGAATAACAAAACATGGAAGACGGGGTGAAAAATCTCTCAGTGCTTTCAGCCCGTGATCACACACAACTGAAATACAAAACAATATCAGTCCAAGCTTTAAATTGAAAAAGATACTATTGACATAAAAACAAAATAATTTGATAAAACAGTGCCTTAATATTCTGAGCCTGAACATTCTGAATATTTGTCAAGCATTATAATAAACAAACAAGCACAATATAAGCATGACTTGTACTACTAAAATTTTTTGCATGACAGACAGTTTTACTTGTTTGCTCAAAGCAACACAAATAATCAATTCTGAACCTTGCTATTTTTTCTCCGTTGACTTTTAAATGTCACCAATCTTGAACCACGACATTCGTATAAAATTTGCTCTTATATAAAGCTAAGAATTAATCTGCAAATACCTTTATTCTTAGTTTTTCTCTAGCTTTGTTTAAAATTGTAGAAATCGATTTAAGTTTTGGACCGATTGTTGAGAAAAGATATCTTAATTCGACTTGCTTTAAATCGCATAGAGATGAAAATTGAATTTATTTTGCTGATAAATCGAACATCATTAAAAGTATATCATTAAAAGTAAACACTCAGCTAAAATTGTTTTATTTCAGAATAAAAAAGGTATTTTAAACAGAGAGTTCAACACATACCTTATAAACACGATATCTTACACTTAATTGATCGAACTTTATGTACATCGAGTTGAGCAGGGTGACAACATCCATTGGCGAAATTTTTGTGCAGATCTTTGTGAAGCCAACCACGTCACTGAAGAGGATTGTCACATTTTCAAACGTCTTAGGAAAAAAAAGTAAATAGTGAATAAATGGTAAGTAATAAAGACTTTTTTAGTACATCTGAACATATTCCGCTATGAAAATTCCTCAAATTGAGCAAACTCGCCTTCTAAAACATAAAGCATTGCTTGTTTTGGTTTTGTGATACCCCTGCTCTCCAATTGGTCATCAGTGATAAGGTTGACAAGGGTCGTGGTTAGTCATCTTTATTTCTCCTTTCAAGCTATTTCTATACCTATCACATGCTTGCGTTTCTCTGATTAGCCTATTTTGATAGACAATTGGAAATATATTCACCATAATGTTCTTTCGGGCCCTTATTCTGACGTTTTATGCTTTGAGGAGTGTCAGACAAAAAAGCTTTTAGTATGTTGTAAATTGTTTGCTCTTTCCAAAGCGATTTTCAAATTTTGTACCGCCAAAAAATTGTTCTTTAAAGCCAATACAGTTTCCTATGTGAATAGATTCTCTTCTCCTTTTCCTAGAACATCAGCATATCCTCGCTTTACGCTACTATATTGATGCCACAAGCTCCTTTGCAGATGTTAAACAAGACACAGATGATAGATTAGTTTCAACCTATCCCTTTGATACTCGATCAGATACATAACAAGACTGAGTGTAGAAGACGTTGGTCAAAAACAAGAAAAAGAACAAATTGCCGGACTCATCACCTCACATGTATCCAAAGCTGACTCTCCTTGTCTCAGCCTTTCTGCTATTTGCTTTGGTATCATGCGATACAGCAACGAGTCCGCCTTTTTTCTCTCCATTTCCAAGCACTGTACACTATCTTCTAGAAGATTGCTTTTCGAGCGTTCCTAAAACGGTTCCGCAAAATTTTCCTCTTGTAAATTGTGCAGGACTACAACTAGATTCAATAAAAGTATCTTTTTGAATTGCTATGTTTACTTTAGTTACCTAATTGAAGAAGCACTTTACTATAGAAAACATTTGCTTGGTACTTAATCGGATCAGTGGCGTTCCCAGGGCTGCAGCAGTGGGGGAGGGGGGGGTCTGGGGCGGGGCCCCCAGAATTTTTGACCACGCCCTTCAGACACTTGCAAATGCGGGGAAACGCTCTTTTTGCAAAATTTCCCCCCATTATTTTATTAGTGTTAGCTACGGTAAATAGCAAAGTATTTTACAATTGTTATTGATACAAGCATACAGTATACTGCACCCCCCCCCAATGAGTTTTACATCATTTTTGGACAAATCTCGAGGATCATATTGGTCCGGACTCCCTATTTCTCCCCTTGGGTACGCAACTGAATCGGATGGGGGAGTTAGCACTTGTGATGGGTTGTTATTGTAGAACGATGGAGATAAAGAAAAACTTGCGTCTATTCTTTGAATCATCATCCTCAAACTTATTTACAATTGACTGATTAACTAAAATGATTTGCATATCACGTGATTACTACTTAGTATGTGATTGGTCCTGTTACATACCCTCACTCCATGGTTTTTAATAGACAAACGACTCCTTATCAGAAGAAAAAAACACTTTTATTGCTCCTTTTTCTTAAACTTTTTACTTTTGCTTTTATAACTACATAGGACATAAAACATAGATCTAGCCAAATCTTTGTACATATGAGTTTCAGCATTTTTCACCTTGCTTATGTTATAGTCTCTTGCTTCCCTTTTATTGAATGACTGACATGCTTTGCTTAGAGTCCAGTTGTCCCAAAAAACAGGGGAGCGGGGGAGGGGTAAACTAAGCGGGAACCACTTCAACTACCCTTTGGCTCGTTTCCCTTTATTTTCAGCTACTCTAAGAGCAGCTTCTGTTTGGAGATCTGTGTTCGACTTTCTTCTCTATCCTTTTGTCACTAACAAGACGAAAAAGACATAAGAATTTCACTGTCTTTGCCTACTTACACTGTCCAAAGCGTGCTTTAGCTCAGCTGACTGATGAACCGTCTGTAACACGAGATCTCTCGATGAATCGTGCAAAGCCAAATCGTTTACGAAAACACCCATGTTATGCATTGTGTCCAGACTATCCAAGCTAAAAGATTAATCGTTCATCAATAAATTAAATTCTGATTTGTATACAAAATAGCACAGAAAAACATATAAATAGTTGAAACGCTGAGATTCACGCTCGAAGCGATCAATGCAACAAAAGCATGCTGAATATTTATTTTAGCTTTCTTTTCCAAGCCACTTGTATTCTTTTTACCTCCCTTCCCAATGGCGGCGCCAGCCACTACGCTCTAGGGGGGACAAAACAAAAGATTCTAGGCCACTCCCTTTTCAGCACCAGAAAACGCTCTTTTACTAACAAGGAACGCCATTTTTACCTGAAGGGAACGCCCATGACTCACTTTTGGCTATGTGAAAGCAGTTCAAAATCATGGCATTACATCATAAAAAGTAGGTTGCCGAAACATTACCCCTCCCCCAACATTTTCTCATCGGATTTAGACAAAATACAAAATTGATCCTGCCGAGAACTGGGGGGACGTGTCTTCCCCAGTCCCCCCCGTGGCGCCGCTACTGTCCCTTACTTCTATGTCTTATTAGCCAAAAAAAGGCCTCGATCGATCAGGCTCAATTGTATAGCAATGATGTCCAACACGATTTTCCTTTTCTGACTGGACAATATATTGAAAGAAATAGTCTTCTTTCAATACAAGCCTTTATATTAGGAGAAGACTATTTGAAAATGCAGACACTGCAACCAGTTTTGAAAAAAGGATGAATCAATGTTGGAGATTCTTTTGTTAAAAGTTTTGTCTCAAAACTTGAAATTTTGACTTTGGCATCTGTTACTTCTAAAAGCAGTTCTCCTACAGATGAAGATCGCATTAAAAATTGAAAGTGCCCACAAAACAGTTTTTAACTCTAGAAGTCTAAATTGATGAATCGCATTTCACATACAAGTGAAAGTATGGTTCACAAGAATTACTTCAGATATAAAACTCAATGTCGCTTTGATAATTGCTTAGCTACATCCTTAGATAATCGTTTTGATATCTACTTTGATTTTTAATGAAAAAAAGGAATCGATTCTACTGAAATTGCAAATCATCGTGTTAATCTTGACGATTTTTATATTTGATTAGCGGGATCTTGAAGATTGACAAATCTTGTGAACTCGAAAAAGTGTCAGCAAGAAGCTAGATGTTTTTATCGATTTCAAAATACTTTAAGGAGGAAAACTTTCTTTCGCTTCAACGACACAACCCCTTTCAGGGCAATAAAGCATTCACACCATAGCTCCTAAGCATCCAAACCATTATCAAAAGGTCTGATAGTTATTTCCAGAGCAGTCAAAAATTACTCTATCTAGTCCCATTTAATAATTCATTTGCCATTTCGGCTGTTATTCAGTCATATCACACCAAAAGTGCAGGTGGCAAAAAGGTGCTAGAAAGTAACAGCTAAAAATAGCATTGTAATACGCAAAATGCAAACAACAAAGAAGGGAATAATTCACAGACTTACACAGGTGATGCTAAGAACAGCATCATTTCTAGCACTTGAATAAACATCATGTGACCTTTTAAATGCAAGCCATCAAGGTTTTGGCTGTTTCTGTTCGTGCGCTTCAAAGGTTCTTGGCCATCCGCATTCACATCTCCGCCTTCTTTTGATGATGACGTCTTAGAAAGTAGCTCAAAGATCACATTAGTATGAATGACCTTCGAAAGAAAATGATTTTCAAACAAATTTCTTCAAAACTTGGAGAAATAACCTGATCAAAATCATTCCAATCAAACTTCATATGCAATATCGTATGCAAACTTCATATGCAAAAACAACCACTCTCAATGTACCATTGATTGTGTGTCGTACAATATCATGAAGAAATATAACTTTGAATCTGTGATAAAATTGTACATAGAAAGAAAGAGCACATTATATTAACGAAGTTTTGAGCGAAATATAACACTTGATAGCGGGCTATGCTCAAACTTCGTTGATATAATTCGCTCGTTCTATCTCTGTACTCTTTCTATCTACGTCAAATTCAAATTATGTTGTTAACACTGCTTTAATTTAGTTTTAAACTGGCGTCGATTTTTTTTCTATTTACGCGAATTAACATGCAAACAACAACAATAACAGCAACAACACGAATTGTTACTATGGATACGTAAACATTTGATTAGAATTGATTAGAATCCATCTGTGTAAACAATTGACAAACAACAGGCAGCAAATTTCAAGATAAGCAACTAACAATAGAGAGTTGTTTCAAAAGAGTATTGGTGCATTGCCTATAACTGATTATGGAAATCTGATATCTTATTTTGTTTTGTTTGATAAAATCATATTGATACTTAATTCAATCGAAAAGGTTACTGTAAAATCAATACAATCGAGCCAATATACTTGAAAACGACTTAAACATTCTTCTTTTTCTGATTCATATGCTGTTAGAAGTAGCTTCTAAAAGCTTTAACCATAGTTGATATAACCTATTATTCAAATGAGGCACAATAAATAAGGCAAAAAATTAACTAACGTTTTTCCACGTGAATTCGAATGTCGGGCGAATGACATGAAACACGTCTGTAAGTTTTTTCCCCAGAACAGCATCAGTTGGCATAGCATTCCTAAGTCCGTTGCCAACACCAACAATTTCTAAACCACGGTCGTACATGACATAAAAAGGAAAAATGTCAAAGAACATGTCTATATCTAGAAAGAGACCACAGAGAGAATTTTCTTCTGATTCCAGCTGTTGTATATACCCTTTGTTATCAAACATTAAGTTCATTATGACATGACAGCCATTTTCATCTAGTTTATAATGCAAAACTTCGGTTTCTACTTTCAGATTATAAAACTTGCGACCAACTTCCTCAATTTGTCCAGCAACATAATGGAGGTAGCCAATTCGCTTGGATCTGTAGTGAAGAATCATTCCTCGAGCTGTTTCCATTTCCACGAAAAACGAAGGCGGCTTTAGCTTTGTGTAACTAAATCGAAGATATTCGTGCAAGCTGTCCAATCCATTGAGAAAATCGCGCATGTTACGACCAAGAACTTTCAGTAATTGGTTGTATCCATTTGTTTCGACAAACGAAACGAACGAAACGCCAAGTTCGTGCATTACGCCGTCGAGAGACTGTGATGTTATATCTGCATAGGCTTGAGCCATGCATGCAATCAGCGAATCGCTGTATACGTTATGCAAGACGAAAGACTGGCTTTTGATACCTGCCATATCGCGGACTTGAAACCAGACATTTTCACCATGTTTTTGCATGATCATGTTGCGGAGGTTCTCACAAAGCAAGCCGTACATTTTGCATTCGACGAATACACAACCAGTATATTTCAAATATGCCTTGTAAATTGACAAAAATCGTACTTTCGCGGAAATATACGGCGACGAGAACAGCTGCCACACTGAATTAAGTACTTGCAAATTAAATGTGACCAATGTGAAATGCAAAACAAAGCAACTGCGTGTGCTTCGGGGATAAAAAAACAATGAATGTTGCTAAAATGCAGCATTGTTGCAAACGCATTTAAATATTTTGCAACACGAGTTTCAGAATTCGTTTTACAGTCTGGAATCATTTCAAGGTTGAGCTAAATATCAAGTTTAGACTAAATGAAGGAAAGTCATCGTAGTGAGAATTAAAAGCGAACAAACAACTGTGCGTCTATTACTACAGTTTTTAGGAACGAGTAAAGTTGATTGCCTCAAGCCTTTAAGAAAAAATCAGCTCGAATTCCTTTATTATCTCATAACCAACTTCAAAGTCACCTTTAAATGCTAGTATTGTTAATGTCCCAGTTATTTTTAATGTTTTCATCTAGCAGTTTTGGAATCGATCTACATGCAAACGAAAAAGCCGCCATTGTGTAGACAGGAGTTTGTTCTCTCTTGTCCTCCAGTGGTAATTTTTCTTTAGGCACGCGGCACTGATTGGACAACCATGCCGGTCTTGTGTTTGCATTTTTCTGATTGGCCTATTTCGATCCACAACTGGGTATATCGTGTTCTTTCGGACCCTTATTCTGAGGTTTAATGCTCTGAGGAGTGTCAGACGCAGAAGGTTTTAGCCAATATGTTCTAAGATGTTTGTTTTTTCAAAGCCATTTTCAATGACCCAGTTCTTGAATGACACCGAAGTTTTGCTGTATTCTTATCAGTATTTGATTAGTGAAAAAAGCAGAAAGCTGCTCCTGAACAGTAGCAACTAAAAGTTTTTAACCAAGGTTATAGGAATGGTAATCAGATTTGAATTTTTTTCAAAAACATCTTGTTATTCTATTTGACCTGCAACCAATTTGAATATGGAAAAAACAAGGCTGCAAGCAGGGGTTAGCTATAAGTAAAGGACAGGGCGAATATCGAGAGGGGCTCAACTGTTATGTTTCAGTGGCTTTAGCCTGGTGGCAAGTTCAATTGAGATGGGAAAAAGAGCAGTACCATTACAGAACAAAATATATATGTTGTTGTGAAAAACTGCCGGCTCATGAGCTGAAAATATTAAAGCCTTTCTTAGAAAGACGTGGTTACTATAAGGAAGGCGTATTTGGGTGTGATAATTAAAATTCGTTAGTTTTCAGTAACTTTTGTTGGTTGTTAGCACTTTCTGAAATATTTCATATCATACTATTCACTGTACAATATACACTTAATAATTAAGAGGATAGTCTATAGTATGATATAAGAATATTCAAGAAATATCCATATAAAGAAGCAACCATTTAACGAAAAACACATTCACTTCAATCTGGACTTTCCATATCATTCCTCAATTTTCTACAGTCTCTTTACATGGTGCTCAAATCGAAAGATTTTTGAACGTATGAAATATAATCTTCCTAAGCTAATACAGTACAGTATTTCTGATCTGATAAAGTACAGTATTTTTGAACTAATACGATGCAGTATTTTGGGACTGATACAGTAAAGTAGTTCGAGCTAATACAATGCCGCATTTTGAACCTATAGTTATAGTGCAGTATTTCTCAACTAATACGATGCAGTATTTTGGGACTGATACAGTAAAGTAGTTCGAGCTAATACAATGCCGCATTTTGAACCTATAGTTATAGTGCAGTATTTCTCAACTAATACAGGGCAGTATTTCTGACCTGATAAAGTACAGTATTTTTGAACTAATACGATGCAGTATTTTGGGACTGATACAGTAAAGTAGTTCGAGCTAATACAATGCCGCATTTTGAACCTATAGTTATAGTGCAGTATTTCTCAACTAATACAGGGCAGTATTTCTGACCTGATAAAGTACAGTATTTTTGAACTAATACGATGCAGTATTTTGGGACTGATACAGTAAAGTAGTTCGAGCTAATACAATGCCGCATTTTGAACCCATGGGTATAGTGCAGTATTTCTCAACTAATACAGGACAGTATTTCTCAACTAATACAATTCAGTATTTTTTAACTAATACGATGCAGTATTTTTGGACTGATACAGCAAAATAGTTCAAGCTAATACAATGCCCCATTTTGAACCCATAGGTATAGTGCAGTATTTCTCAACTAATACAGGACAGTATTTCTGAACTAATACAGTTCAGTATTTTTGTACCTATACAGTGCAGCATTTTGGAACAAATACAGTACAGAGTTTGCGAACTAATAAAGGACAGCATTTTTTGAACTAATACAATACAGTATTTTGGAACTAATACAGCAAAAAGTTTTTGAACTAATAAAGTTTAGTATTTTTGTATTTATGCAGTGCAGTATTTTGGAGCTAATACAGTACAACTTTTTTGGCCAATATAGTACAGATATTCTGGAAAGAGCAATGATTATTAAAGTTCCTATTTGAATGTCTAAGACAAATGTTCAATAGCCGTCCTACTGGGCTGGATTTCTGAAGACGTCCAAGAACAACCCTCTCGACATGCAGACACTAACCTAACAGTATTTAAGCATTTACACATCACAGCCCATACATATTTTGTTTCTTCAATTTTCTTTAAATCGGAGCCCCCTTTAGAGCGTTGCTACTGATCCGGTTCTTCACAATTAGGGGGACACGTTTGCAGTCTTTTAAATGGGTTCTATCTGAACTTATCATTAATGGCCTCTCCGCAACGATAAAAGAAAGTCCTGGTGATGGATCTCTATTAAAGGCAATCTGTCACGACGTTGATTGGTTATAAGAACAAAGGGATTTCTATTGTTTCCAGTCCCCCTTTAATTTATCGCATTGTAAAATGTATGGCAGAGCGCTGGAATTGTGTTTAGGCTATTGTTCAAGCTATTGTTCTCGTTAACCAATCCACAACGAGACAGATTGTCTTTAAGCATTTAAATTGACGGCCCTTAGTCAGCAAACTGCATTTAATCGTTGTGTCTCCTCAGCAATAGAGCACTTATAGTTTGCTCATATATAACCTAACTTCAAGGCCTCTAATCCAGCGGTATCTTGGCAACTCAGGCTTGGCTATTAACTTGTAAGGCACTACCGAGTTTAGATCATATCTGATCTCCCAAATAAGCTGTCAAATTTCATTTCATAAGGGACTTTTGGAGAATATTATCAGTCATATATGGCAGCTGCAGCTTATGACGTATGTGCAGGCTCTTTTAACCCAAATCAAGAAATTGATCAATTTTTAATGCAACGAGATGCCTCTGTAATAAAATTAAATTCAGTTTCGCTTCAAAGCGCATTCAACACCTGTCTTTAATAATTTATCAAAGCAAATCAAATCTTCACTAGAAATGCGCAAAAAAAGTGTGACAGTTTTTCATGAAATTGTTCCGCATGTAAGGTGAGCTGATTTGCATCTCTTTAAGTCAACAAAGATGACACGAGATCGTTGTTGCTGCGCAGAAACCGCAAAAGCAAAATTACCATTATTCAAGTAATTCCAAATGCTTAGTTGACAAACAGAAAGAGGGTATCATAGCGAAGAAATTAAGGATATGATGCTTTGAAGGAACCTGGAGGTTTTTCTAAAGAGCACATTAAAAAAGACCAGAGGAATTTAACAAAGAAGTTGAGCCTTCGGTTTTTCTCTTCTACGCCACTGGTTGAAACCCTGTGGTACAGTATTCAGCCATATTTCTTTTCCATATTAAAACGAGCACTCAAAAAATTCTTGAATATTGGAAATCATCTCAGTCTTCTTTGGATAGGAGCATAAAATAGTGGAATTGATAGTTGATATTTGCTGCTCAAAAAATTGTTTCTTTCTGAACTTGGTGTTCTTTCAATTCTTACACCATTTCCGCACCTCTCCGGTACAGAGACCGCGGAGGCATTTTGATCTGAGAGGACTCAGCAAAACAAGAAAGTGACATGTGTATTAATGAATCAATATAAACATTTGATTTGCATTTATTGGCGAATATATCTACATTTTGAGAACTAAGCTTTTTTAATAATTAACAAGAGCGATTGATGATGTCACATTGAGCGCCATGATTAGAATATATCGCAAAGTAAATCACCACGAAAAAAGTACACTTTTGAAAATCCAGACTGTTCTTCGGTATTTCTTTGGTAGATCTGGGAATGATGTGGTCATTACGGTCTTTTATTTTGAAAAGGATCATGGCCAGTGATGCCTGGCATGTGTCTGAAAAGAGTGATGACTGTCTTGCAACGACAGGTTACTTGATAGGGACAATGTCTTTTTGGAAATAAAACAGTTTATCTGGCTAGAAAATATTCATGGACACCCAGTGCTAATTAACAGAAAGACAAATCTTTCGGCTCTTATAAGCGGTGGTTTACGCAAATTCAAGTAGTTATAACATAATTTTTTCGGTCGCTCAACGACAGATTCTCAGAAAGGTGGCAATAATTTACTTGATGAAAGAACATCGGTGAAAAAACACGCAACTGTACCAGTTCACATTCCTTGAGTCAATCCCAAATGGACATCTATAAGGATGAAAGTTTGTCCTGCCCTGTACGTTGGAACAAAACTGTACCATTCTTGCAAGAAAGCATCGGTGTCAGCAACAAAACTTTGCCTTAACAACGCGTTGAAAGAATCATTCAACATTGTCGGAGTGGGTGCAAGTAACATCATTCATGAACTCGTATCAAAATGTTTTTGTGTTCCAGTGCCACAGCCTCGTACTAAAGGATTCTTTAAGAACCTATACGAGGACGCTTGCTCAGGTACATTGCGTGCTGCATTTGACAATAAGATTTCATGCCTTTTTCTTCCGCCGTCGATTTTCCGAGCTGGAGCTTCTAGATGAGGGCGATGCTTCGTTTGCGTGCAAAACCGGAGCTGTTCGTATCGTGGGATTTGGCGCAGATTTTGATTTGTCCTTATTTCTAGTTTGCTCACCTAATAAAGAACCATACTTCAGTTTTCCAGCTATTAAAAGGTTATACAAGAGTCAGGGCGGATTTAATGTTTATTAAAGACATATAGTTTAAAATATCAATATAACTGAAAGAAAAAGGGACCGGCATTCGATTGATTGGAAAGAAATGAGTAGGTAACAAAGGAACAGAAATCTGATGGACTTTATACCAAAGCCAGATTTCTACAAGTAGAAGCTCCAAGAGTTGTTTGTAAGCTGATTTGATAACATTCTGGCAGAGTCTGAGTTGATTTAAACACATTCGGGTAGGGTATAAGCTGATTTTGGATTACTACTTATTTAAATGTCCAAGGTTCTTCATACAAGGAACACAATAAACTATTTTCGTAATGGAATTGTCAGTCGATTTTTTGTATTCTTCGGTTTTTAAGTAGGGAAGGAGGAAGAGAGTAACTCGGAGATTGAAACTCGGAGTTGCATCCTCAGGACCGTTATGCTTTTCAAACCGAAGGGTTAAATACGGCATCAAGCAAATCTGGACAGACCAGAAAAAAGCAACAATTATTCTAGCAAAATTCAGGTCAGATGCATCATCAGAACAAATCAAAACTCTACATGATCAAACAAACGCTGAAAAAACCAAAAATACTTTCGATTATCAATGTAAAATCTCGATGAATTGCGATAAGTAGTCGCAATTTACAAGTAACTTCTACATTTGATGAAAGTTAAATTGACTTTCAACCGTCAAATTTCATTGAAGTGCATTATTGTGTGTAAAGATGACCACAAAACACAGAGAAAAGGTAATTATTAAAGTCATATATTCTGATAAAAGATTTCGGTCGGGATTTTAACTGTGGAGAGGTTAATAACAACAAACAGAACAGGGAATATTTTCTTAAGAAGCTGTCTCACCTCGTTCTGTGCGTTTTCTAGAGTCGATTGCAGCAGCCAATGCTGGGTTCGCCAAAGCATTTGAAGACATGAGCTTTACAAAGATTCATAAATTTCATTTAATTTTAATGAGCTGAATGAACCTATTTAAAATTACACTTAAAGAAAGTTTTCGATATCTAAAAAAGGTTACTATGCAACATAACAAAAGGATGAAAAGTTTCTCAACAGCTTCTGACAATAAAAGAAGTTTTTCTGGCTTCTCTATAATTCTCCAACGATAAATCACTTGGTATCGAAAATTTGCGAAACACCTAGATTATACAATCTGCTTTTATTCATCACTAACTAGCTTACGAAGGTAGGTTTTCATAAACACAAAGAAACCAAGCTTATCGAGCAGTTTCCTGGTCCTTCTTCTGGATGTGACCACTTCTCGTGATACCTACACATGGAATTAGAGAAGTGGCGATCCTCTTCATTCTAAGTGAAAGTCTGGTCAACGACTCAAACCACTGACCCTTGGACCTGTAGTCAGTGACATTGACTCATCCTCACACTCGGTACCATGGCACACATTATCCTTCAACTGGCGTTCCTGTTTCCTTTAAATTATCTGATCAATAACATTCTCAAAGTTCTGCTTATTCTTTCTGAATCTTCCTATTATAATGGTTTTAACAGAAATAAACATGTGTTTAGAAAAGGGAAATAGATTGGGGGCTACAACATACCACAAGCGGTAATGGCTTTCCTGCTATGATTGCTGGATCCAAGTATGGTAAAGTGACTTGATCTTTGCTTCTATAAAACAAAAGGAACAAATTGCAAATAATTTAGAGACAAAAGTCTACATGAAACTTATTTGAAACCTTAGAAACCTTCAGCTAGAGGTAGTTAGAATGAAACTTGAGAAATACTAATGCAATACTAGTCCAAGTGTATTGAAGATGGTTTTCAACCGTCTTCATTTTTAAGCCGTAAAATTTGGGGTAAATTACACCTTCAATGAAGTATGTTAGATCTTAGAATTAGTTTCTAAGTCAGAAATAGTGGATTTCCATATTTTAACCATACTTAAAACAAACTTTGAGATGCAAGGATGGCGAAAATACAAATACTTTAACCCTCAAAATACACCAAGTACTGGCGGTATAAGCCTTCAACATATTAATACTATCATGTTTTCTTTATCTAGGTATACAAAGATCTCAATTTAGGTAATATATAGTCTTTCGCCATTGAAAGTACATCTCATAATCAAGAAACGTCATAGAAATTGTGACTGGTTTGTAATTTTGTTTACTTTGCTGAATGTCTCGCAGCTGAATCACCGGACTGGCCCTGGTCAAACATTATATTATCGTAAGTATCTGTGTGCAAAACAGCTTGGCTACAAACCCAGCTACAAGAAAAAGCAAAAAATTCAAGTTAAAAGAAGAAACAGTCTTAGTCAATTTACAATGTCGGACTAACATTGTGTTTCACTCTTCAAAAGGATCCATCAATGCAGAGGCACATGTAGGAAATGGGGGGCTTAATTCAAATTGGAAAGTAGAGGGGCCAAGGGCAAATCAAAGACACGTAACAAAAGATTTGGCAGAAAGCTCTATTGCTTTGCAAAAAAGTGGGGACGTAGCCTCTGACCCCCGTTGTCGGAAGCCTTCGGAAATGGGAGAGTAGGGGCTGGGCAAGCAGAAGGGGTAACTCTGAGCACCACAGGAAGTCAGAAACTCAGGGGTTTGAAGGCTGCAAAGACCCCTTTATTGAGTAAGTCAAGGGGCAAAACCCCGGCTGCTGTAGCAATTTTGGATTATTTGTGGTAAAATTGCCCTCATGTATGAAGAATCTACCAAATATGCCTAGTTAAAAGAGGAAGCTTCTTTCAAAGGAGGGAATCGTTTACATCGAACAGTCCCCACTCCCTTGCTTACTCAAATAGTCTTAGAACATGATGTATTCCTAATTGAATAGGCAAAAGCTGGTCACGTTAGACGAAATGAAAGAGAAAAATCGAAACAAAGAAACACACAAGGACAGGTTATTCCCTATCAAATAACCATAGTATGGTCTCGCTCCCAAACTTAGTGAACTAGGCCAAAATAACGGTAATCCATGAGTAATTCCATTTTCTACATTTCAGTCAGTTTGCAGTTGATTCATTTCAAGTTGAACATTCAGAGATATTTGTTGCTGTCAAAACCTAAGAATTCTACATAGATTTTTAAAAAGTTTCTTTCCGCGAAGGTTTCACCAAACACAGGAATGTCTCTCTTCCAATGCTGTACAGCATCGATTCACTATTCAAAATGCGATGTTCAATTATAAATATATACTAAGTTTAATTCTATTTGCGTTAATACCGACTGTTGACTCTTGCTTTTGTCACAAAACAAATATAAATTTTAGTGTTAGTTTTTGTTCAATATTTGTCTTTGGAAATAATGAAAGCAAGCCCGTTACGTTATTTCAAAAAGAATTTCTTTTGTTTAACTCACCTATATGTCATGTCCTTTTTAAAATCTTTCTCGCTTGAGGCGTTCGACACATTTGATGGAGATGCCATTTCTCTTTGAGCTGTGAAAGGACAGTATGGAGAATGATATTTACTCTCTCGCTAAACTTCATTGCGATGAATAGCATATTAACAGATTTCCTAAGCAAGGATAACCTCCGTTAAATAGATGACATACTGACGCTACTTCGCTGCCACACCTCGCTTGGCTGATGTGACGACGGGCGGCACTAGAAACATTTTCTGAGGGGGAGGGGTGTACAGAAGTACTTAGACACTGCTTCAATTCAAGAACCTCTTTACGCAGATTTTTGTCGTGATATGCAGATAATTCTAGTAAGAAGTAAGAGTGAGCGAGAATATATTGGTGTGGGAGCAGCTTTAATAACGGGGGGAGGGGGAGGATTGGGTCGGGAAAATTGACCTCACATGAAGGTTTGGAGTTCTAGCTGTCTCCTACGCAAAATGGCAACTTGATGGGTAAAAAGAGATACATTGAATAGTTTAAGATCCACCTCGCTCTTTACATTTTACCAGATTTAAAGGTATGTTTGATGGTGACATCTAAAAGGCGCAGCTCTTTAAATGTAGTACTGTAGTAATTAGATAAGGTCTTCTAAAAATACACAGTGCCACTCCATTCAATTTATCGTATTTCTGCGTATAATGATATTAAGTGATTACAAATATAAATGTATAACAAACCAGAGAAATATTCCACTCTGTGTGGCGTCCTCTTCTTCGACGGTGGTCGTACAGTCAAATTTGGTTTTGCTTGTTGCAGCTTCTTGAACAGTTCGTATCGCTTCGAAGGAGCTGAGGACAAGATAGAGCTTTAAATTAAAGTTATCAAGCAAAATGACAAAAAATATAACACGAGTGACGTATAATATAAGCCCATACACCGGACGTATGGTATGAATAATGGAGCGAGCCACGGATGATCACAGCGATTGAAACGACTGTATCAACACTATATAGCTATTACCCGAATTATATATACTCGTTGGTGGCAAAACGTCGATACACCATAGGCTAAGATACAATAGCAATGTCCACACAGAGACAGCCAATATTTTAAGGTCAGAGATTTGGATGCCTCACTGTCTGTGTTGCCTGCCTCAAGTATTCAGCGATGCTTCAAAGGCAGCACTGGCTGGACAATCAGGGTTTAGGATAAAAGTCTTTTGTATGAATGCCATTGCATTTAGGTAAACAATCCTTTGTTTTATTTACCGTTTATCTCGAAATACTGACCACCTTTATTAAAATATTGGCATGATCGCATTTGCATTAGTTTTGCTGTTTAATTTGTGACAGTTGCAAAGTCGCCTTACTGATGCAAAAGCAAATATACGCTAGTTCATATTACCGCAAGACTGATGAAGACAATCGTTACGTTTCAAAATTAATTGTAAGAACCAGTAAACTAAAGTTCAGGCTGGTGTTCTAAACTTCTTCGAAATTTTGAAGCTTTCATTTTCATAAATGGTAGGCATCATTTGCTATTTGCCAACAAAGTTTGGTTTTCATAATTTGAGTGAGACATGTATTATTCGCCGATAAGTTTGAAAATTCACCAAAAAAGCACTCCCAGATGCAAAAAATTCCTCGTTTTTGAGATGAAATTTTCTAGGGGGTTTCACAACATGTATTTTTCTTCCTCTTTAGAAAAAGATGGTTACTTTTGAGGGGAGGCGTGGGGCAGATTTTGGCGAAAAATCTGTGTAAAGAAGCTTTCAAAACTGGTTCAGAATTTCTTTTACACATTGAGGTTGATAGATAAACAAATTGAATGGGGGGGGGGGGGAAGGGGTCAGAAAGATTGATGTCACGCAAAATGGAAACTTGATGGGTAAAAAGAGATACATTGAAATCTATCCCAAAACATTTGTTCATCTTCTTTAACTGCTAGGAAAAAGCTGTATCAAGCAGTTTTAACAAAAGAGAAAAAGGGTTTTCTTATTTACACATAACGGAAAATAAACCCAAAATAAACTGTATTTTTCAGGTACCTATTCCGAGGAAATTCTTCTTTCGACCACTAGTATTCATCTTCTTCATTCTTTTCATCATCAGCTCAGCAGTTGCTGAATTCTGGAATCCCCTGTTTTGATCAAAGAAACAACAAGATCATTAGGTACTAGAATGAGTAAAAATAACCTTTTACCCTGAATATTTTCTAATCAGCTGCAACTAAGAAGCCTGTTTTTGAAGGATATTGATAATCCATATAAATCAAACCTACATTTCCTGTTTAATCAATAATCACGCAATAATCCCAATATTCAACAAAAGAAATCATTTAGGCAAACAATACAATCCAAAGTCAGGTTTTGAAAATCCATGATAATCCTTAATCACAGATAATCCATTGAAAACATCGCAACATAATCTCAATAATCCTTTAAAAATTTGCAAAACAAAAATCGACCAATGAAAACCCCTAAAAACCCTATGTCATAAAAAACGATCGAGTCACAATTGAAATTTTATCTTTCCAACATCTGATGATTTCTGAATTAGCTACGAAATTCTTTAACAAAACCGTGTTTCTAGCTAGGGGATGATTATTAAAAAGCAAACAAAAGAAATATTCAGGGGCAGAAACTTGGTCAAATGTTGGGGGGGGAGCCTATTGTTTTCATAAGATGACGCAAACCTTTCCCATTGTTTTAGAACAAATGACCATTGTCCTCCAAAATAGTGGGAGGCGGCTGCCCCCTCGACCCCCCTAAGATGCAAACAACTGGAAATATTACTACCGCTTAAGCTTTCGCCAGTAACGCCAGCAATGAACTGTTGCAATGGCCTGACCAAGACCGAAAGTAAAGCCATTAAAAAGATTTTATCTATTACAACAAAACTCGTTAGTTTTTCGTTCATTTTTGCGGAAGGTTTTCAAATTTCGGCCAATCGGATGAAGAAATGAAACAATTTTCTGGCTTCAGATTTCACTGTATCAGCTAATGTATTTTGGCGAAAAAGAAAATTGGCGAAAAACGACAGAAAAAATGGATGGGAGGTTGGTGTAACATATGTAATCGCTCTTAGAGAAATTATCGATCGAAAGGAAAGCTGGATCCAAGCAAAACTGCCCCCCCCCCCTCACCCTCTGATTCAGCTATTGAAAAATAAAAATTTAAGCAGCTCACAAATGAAGCAAATTTATCTGGTACCATGATGCTAAATCTTTAACATCTGTTAATCCCAGTTAATTGCTTCAATAATTGATCAGGTTTCGATAAAAGATTAAACTTAATTCCCGGTACTCTTACTAAAACCTTAATGTGTTAATATAAAAAGTTGGTTTAATTAATTTTAAAATAGTTAGTATTGCATGTTATTAACTTGAAAGAAAGTAAAGAAAAAAGACTACCGCACAACTGCCACTTACCACTCCGTCAAAATCTCTTCTTTTTTCCTCGATAAAACCGTCTCTGCGACTGTGCTGGATCGATCACTTTCTTCGGGACTCATCTCCAGATTCAAAGGTTCTACAACCCTCCCTTCTGGAGTTCTTGGAAAAGACTGCCAGGCATGCTTTGGTGCATCTTCCGGTTCAATCTGAAGTCAATAAAACATACATGAAGTTTATAATCTAATAACTTAATCTTTCATGCTGCACGTGTTTGAGTCGAATGAATATATCTATCTACCATGCGGACATTACATAAGTTGGTTCAGGGCACCTTTTATATGCATACTTAAGGTAGGTTATTCACATTTATAATTGTGACAAATAATATTGTTATCAGCACTTGTAATACAAGATCAAAAGTGGAGAGGGGGGGAAGGCAAGATAAATTACAAACTGGATGCAAACGATATTCTACTTATGATGGACCTTGTTTGCAAAAGTGTGGGGAGGAGATGGCAAAGCCCCAGCGCTAGTCGTCGAAGGGACTGGAAACAGGGTAGGAAAAGTAGTTAAAAGGCAATCGTCATATATAAAAGGGGCAATCAATATTAGCCAATCAATGAGCGTGTGAGTGGAATCACACTCACTGATTGGTCTATATATGATTGAAAAAAGACTTAAGCCCCTATAGTATCTGTGGATTTCTTTGAAGCAAGGTTGTCTAATAGTTATTCATTGGGTTTCACAACTATTTTCATTAAGTCATTGCTAGAAATAAAACAGGAATTGAGACGCTTTACAATACGATATACAAAAGGATCGAAATAAACATGGATATGACTTTTCAAGGCAGTAAAATAACAGGTGGAAATAGTGACTTTGATTAATATTGTGCACTTAATAAAGTCCTTTCCTGGTCAACAAGTTGTTCATGGTACCAGAAAGTGTCATATTATGTTTTACCTCCTTTTTGGTTGCGTCCTCATCGGTTGCTGAAAAAACAGGATTCCTGAAATGGAGAGATGAAGAAATAATAACAAGGGGATTCCAGGGGATTGTAGGGGGTCCTAAGGGGGTTCTAAGGGGGCTCTAACGGGCAATTGCTGATCTGACAATGAAAAGACTGAAGAAGATGAATAAAAGTAGACAGAAGAAAAGTTTCTTTGGGATCGGTACCAAAAACATTGTAGTCCCTTTTGGGTTTTTCTTTTCTTTAAATGTAAATGACAAATTTTTGTCTTTGTCAAATAATTTTGGTATAGATGCTTTCCCTATACAGTTTAAAGGAGAAGACAAAAAAACTCTTTTGGGTAGCCACCCAAGGCAGTGCAGTTCTTTTCATCAAGAAATTGAAGAGATGTGATATACATTTAACCCCTTTTTCATGTTTCAAGGAAGTCCCAACGGATGCTTAAAGACTAAAAAGTCTGTGAAAAAAACAGAAATTGAAATACGAAAAAAACAAAATGTAAGATAAGCTAGCTTGTGGCAAAGCAAAAGAAAGATTTTAAAGAAGTGTGAAATTGTGAGAGAAGCAAGGGTTGAAACAATCCATGCCCAGTTGTGGGTTCAAACAAGCTAATTAGAAAAAGCGAGCTAGTGACTGTTGCCCAATCAGTGCTCCAACCAGTGCCCCAATCAGTGCTCCAACCAGTGCCCTTCGAACCCCGGCTCCGGTGTACCTGTCCTGGTATTTTAAAGGGCATGTGTCGTGAACATGATTGGCTAATGCAATACAATTATCTTGTCTGCTTCGTACAACGCATGGAATCGAGGTGATGAAACAATGGAATTCCACTCCGAACGCTTTTGTTTTATTAGCCAACTGTTAATGCGACATATGCCCTTTAAATGGCTGCAAGTCAAATCAAATCTGCTCATACCTTGGAGGAAGCTGAGAAGTGCTCATTGGCCGCCATTCTTGGCCTTCGTGGAAATCAAATTCATTGAGATCGACCTCTTCGTCGTAGTTGAAATCATCCTCATCATCACTAGCTTTTGCAAGACTGTCTCGAATCGACTCCAAAGCAAAAGACAGAACACGGCGTATTCTGTAGCCTCGATAAATGGCCTGAAAGAGTTCAAGTATATCAGCTTTCTACCAAAACATACCCAGTGAAAAAAACATCAACAATTTTGGGATATTCAAGCACAAAACCCAATGCCGACAGAACTTCTCAGGGCCTTATGCACAAAAAAGGTCCGTTTAATTCTAATCATGATTGTATTCAATTATTGTTTCTATTTTTCGCACAAGAAAAGCCCCAACTGTAACTAAATCTGGCTTGCGACCATTTTAAGACCTTCTAATACTTTCTGACACTCCTCAGAGCACAAAACGTCAGAAAAATGATGGAAACTTCTAAAGAAGAAAACATAAATACCCAGTTGCAGATCGAAATAGGCAAATCAGAAATATGACGATTTGATGATAATCAGTGCCGCTTGCCTATTGAAAATGTTACCAATGGAGTCCCAACGTGAAAAATAACTCCTTGTTTTGTCCCTACACATATTGTATGTTGAGCTTATATTTATGCCTATAAAGTTAATAATTTATTTACGGCATGTAACAAGACAGACCTGAATTTTTGTTGCAGCTAACTGCTCCTCGGCTGAGAAAACTTTTGCGGCCTCAGAACCTGGTTTTTCAACCTCCTGCAACGATCAAACAGAAAGTCTGCTTCAAGCCATCAAGCTTAGAAATCATTTTACGCAAAAAAGTTCATAGCATAAACGACAGCTTACTAGAAAGGTATCAAGTGATTATGATTAATGATTGCGTTGATTGACGATTGATGATTACGTTGATCGATGTTGATTGATGGTTAATGATTAATAATGATTGATGTTGATTGATGATGTTGATAATAATTTCAATCTAAACAGTTGTCATCAGTTCATTGATCCTGCCATATCTCAGTAATGGATTGCCAATTCTTTACTCGTTCATAATCGTGTAAAGTGTTTCAATTGTTTAAGTCCGACTAACTCCTGGTATCAAATAATTAAGTTCAGATCCCCCCGTTTCTTTAAAACAAATTGATTTTTAAAGAGAGAGAGAGGGGGGGTTGGGGAAGCGTGAAGTTGTATGTTAAATCAATTCACCGTACCTCGACGTTAGTTTCCTTATGATCCGCAATCACGTCACAGATTTCAGTAGAGATTTGGCTGGTATCAATTTCTAGCGGCTGTTCCCTCAGAACAGTTACGTCATCAGGTGAATGCATTACTTCAGTGGCCATTTGCAGTCCTTGGTCACGTGATTCATTGATCTTTGGTTGTTCACTGAAAGCGAAATCAGGTGATATCAGATGACTGAAAACATGCAACAAACATGCAAAAATTTTGTTTCTGCGACAAAAATCGTCCGTGTGCTAGGCTTAAAATACTTACTTTTGGTTGTCAATGGGTTGGGTTTGTCCATAATTCACGTGCTGCTGCAGATAATTTACAACCAACTTGAAAAATTCTACTCTTTCTTTGTTCTGCAAAACAAATAAGTGCTAACGCTTTAGAAGAAGGCATTAAAAGGGCCGTTACAAGATAAACAGCACATTTGACAAAAAATAAAGAATTTTGATATTCATCATGTAATAAAGGACCATGAACCGTTCGCAGCCTAGTTGTTTTCTTTCTGGTTCAATGATAAGAAATAACATAAGTTGAATAAAAATTGGACAAACCTCTATTTCTAACTTCTTTAATTCGTAATAGTAAGGGTTTTGCGTTCCATCAAGGTTTCTGAGGATAAATAAGTCAAAAAGTACTTAAAAATTCAATTGATTTATTTTGCCTGCCCTCTTTTATGTCATTCTGTTGTCTATCATGGAAGCGTTTAAACATGGCATTGTTTATCATCTGTTTTAGTTCTCCGATACAATTTATTGGCATTTAGTATTCAGCTCACTCCCCAACATTTTTTTCAATCTCCCATAGCTATCAACATCTTTAAATTCTCAACCTTTCAGGATTTGTGATGAGATTTAAATCGGTTCACGACGTTTCAAGAACAGTTTTCGTAAAATTATCTATCTACTGAACGTGTCTGAAACGAAATATATTTTGATCAGATTTATTTTGGTCGGGTTATTTGATCAACTGTTTTATTTTTACCAATTTTCGGTACAACAGTCTTGAAAATTCCTCTTCTTTCTTGCATTCATTTAAATCAGAAAGCTCGCCAAGAATCTGCGATCAACTTCATATGAAATCACGAAATTATACAAATATGTCACGACGTCATTTTAAAATTTAATAATTGTGAAAAGTCTTATTATTGCTCATTTCAAGGCACAAAGCATACCACTAGAGATATCTTACTGTTTTCTATTCAAGCATGCAGTGTGAAAAGATATCGACGCATTTAGGCATCTAAAGAATTAAACCAAAACCTACCTAACTTAAGAATTTAAGGCATTAAAAAAAATTAAATTAAAAATAAAACCTTACCTAAACATTTGTTGATGAACTTCTAAAAACCTTTCATGACTTTTACATTGCTCAACGCAGAGCTCCACAAATTTATTTGGGCAGCCAGTCTCATTTGGCTAAATGACAAAAATATAAAATGTCATAGCTAAATTGTTCACTTTGTACATTACAGAAAAATAAGAGAATAAGGAGTCAGATTAGCGACTGATAGGCATGGCTAATAGGCTAAAGGTCACAGGCTATTATATAACAGGCTATGCTCGAAACGTCGTTAATTATTTTAAAAATTTTTTCCTGGTACAATTTACCTACATTTATCGTTATTTAAATTCATCATATTGTACCGCACGCATTTTAGTATATTTATGGTCTATTGGCGTGTTACTGGATCTATTCTTCACCTGATATTTATCATTGCACTTCGATTCATGCCTTGTTTGAAACAACTTACGCAAACTATTCGACGGGATTTCAACTTGTTCACAAGCATTCATCCTCAAGATGTCAAAGAAGCTTCATACGAACTTTTCACATCCACATTAAAGAAGACAAGATTCACCAGTCACGTTTACTTCCTGAAAATTTGCTTACGCTCCAGAGTCATTCCCAACGGATTCAAGATTAAATTCCACTCGACGATACAAACAGCAGCTATAAACAAACATCTTACCGAATGCTCAAGAAACCTCGTTCGCTCAACGCTTCTACATTACCAGAAAATAATCGATGAGACATCAGCTAATCTTATTAACCGATGAGTTACCTAATCTTATTAACCGTCTTAATTTCTTATGTAACCGTCGTGAAACATTTTTACTTAT